GGGGCCGCCACTAGGACCCAGAGTGTAGAAAATTGTGTCTGCTGCTGGTGCATATGTATTCTCTCTGCTCTAGATGCACAGAGATGGTGGAGTGCTGTGCTGGAGGAAGGAGGGCACAAGAGACATAACAGGCAGGCAGGAGAAAAGGTGAGAGGGGATAACAGAAAGCAGCAGGAGCTGCAGGGAGAGAGCAGGAGTCTCTTATGTACCTCTCTAGCACCCCCAGGAGCCTGGACTGATTAACGCCAGCTTCTCAGGGAGCTTCCTGTTTCCTGCTGCTTCCCTGAACCCACTTGAGGAGAACAGGCAGTCAACTGAAGTAGTAGGAGCCAGTTAGGCCCTTAAGACGCTGATATCTTCCCTCACTCAGGCCCTGCTACCAGCCTACTTATTTGTCCCCTTCAATTGAGTGTTGAGAGCCACTATAGCTGGCACAGAACAGCAGTCATGAGTGAAAGAAGAAAGAAAGCATTCAGAAAAAGAAAGCAAAGGAAGCTTTTCTATCTAAGCAGGAAGGAGCTCTCCTGAGATACATAGACACAAATGTTCACGGTGAGCCTTCTGGCCCCAGTGAGGATGTGAGTGGTGAGGAGATGCCTGATCTTCCAGTTAGTCAGAGCGCAGGTGACCTGGCAGCTACTGCAGCATCCATATCTCCATCTCAAATGGATGTAACCATGCACATTCCTGAAGAAAAGTGTAGATCAGAGAAGAGTGTGGTGGAGGCACAAGAAACAGCTGCTGCTGAGTTTAGTTCCTTAAGTCTAGATGATCCAGGACTGTGGACCCACTTGAGCAGTAGCCTGAGGGACTTCCTTGTACTGCATGGGCCACAGCAAGTGAAAAACTTCATGTTCCCCAAAGACAATGAAAATAGAAGTTTCCATCCAACATATTACTGGCATGAAATCCCCAATGGTGACAAAGTGGAGAGGTCATAGCTTATGTACTCAAAAACCCAGAATGCTGCATCCTGTTTTTGTTGCAAACTCTTCCAGTCTAATGTTCCAGCCACATTGAGTTCTACAGGAACAAAGGTCTGGAAAAATCTGGCTAGAAATCTGGCATGCCATGAGAAGGCAGCAAATCACCAGAGAGCATTCCATAGGTGGAAAGAGCTTGAGATGAGACTAAGGTTAAAGGCCACCATAGATGATCAGCATCAAGAGAAGATTGCATCAGAGTCTCTTTACTGGCAAAATGTTCTGATAAGGCTCATTGCCATGGTGAGAATGCTTGCTACCCAAAACCTAGCATTGCGTGGCACTTCAGATCAGCTGTATGTGCCAAACAATGGAAACTTCCTTAAAATTGTGGAGCTGATGGCTGAGTTTGATGCTGTACTCCAGGAGCATCTAAGAAGAGTCACCACTCAAGAAATGTACACACACCACTACCTTGGAAAAACAACTCAAAATGAGATCATACAGTTACTGGCAACAAAAGTCAAACAGAAGATTGTGGCAGATCTGAAGTCAGCAAGATATTACTCTGTTATTCTGCACTGCATACCTGACATCAGCCATACAGAACAAATGACTTTAATGGTGCGTTTTGTAACAACAAGAGAACCTAGTGAAAATGTCCCTGCAATGGTGACTGTCAGAGAGCATTTTCTAGAATTTATTGACATTGATAATACTACAGGAGTTGGTATGACAAATGTGCTTCTTGAAAAGCAGGAAGATACGGGAATTGTGATAGCTGACAAGAGAGGTCAGGGCTATGATAATGGTGCCAACATGAGAGGAAAGAACAGAGGAGTGCAGACATGGATCCGAGAGTTAAACCCTCGAGCTTTTTTTGTCCCATGCAGTTCTCGTTCATTGAACTTGGAGGTCAGTGATGCAGCATCAGCTTCTAGTGAGGCTGCTGAATTTTTTAATGTAATTCAAAGCCTCTATGTATTTTTCTCTGCATCAACTCATCGATGGCAAATTTTGAAGCAACATCTGGGAACATCCTCTCGGACACTGAAATCACTGAGTGCCACACAATGGGAAAGTCGAGTGGAGGCGATAAAGCCTATCAAACACCAAATTGGGAAGATAGATGATGCCATAGTTGCCATTATGGAGGATAATGCTATGACAGGAACTGTTCATGGGAGAACAGTGGCAGAGGGAAATGGAATCACCAGAAACATACATGACTTCAAATTTCTGTGTGGCTTAGTGTTGTGGCATGACATACTGTTTGAAATAAATGTTGTAAGCTAGAGACTCCAAGGTGTTGACCTTGATATATCTGGAGCAATGGAACAACTGGACAAAGCAAAGTCATACCTACAGTCTTACCAGTCAGATGAGGGATTTCAAAACATTCTGAAGAGTGCACAGAAGTTGGCAGAGGAACTTCACACTGAAGCTATTTTCCCACCCATTCAAGAATACAAGAGTCACCGAAGAAGAAGACATTTTGATTATGAGGCACAGAATAACCATAAGAGACCCCAAACAACAATTCAAAATTGAATTCTTTAACCAGGTGCTAAATTGTGCAATACAGTCAGTTAAAGAACATTTCATGCAGCTCAAGGAACACAGCAGTATATTTGGGATGTTGTATGATATTTCAAAACTCTTCACTATACCTTGAAGACCTACACCAGCAATGCAGGGCACTAGAGACAGTGTTGACACATGATGACATGCGCGATATTGATGCGAGTGATTTAGGTGATGAACTGAAAGCGCTTTCAAGATACATTTCAGCAGGATCAACTCCAAAGGCTGTTCTTGGAATATATGTGCACAAATAAGATGACCACCCTCTTTCCAAATGCTTTTGTTGCTCTGCGCATACTTCTAACACTTCCTGTATCAGTTGCCAGTGGAGAACGCAGCTTCAGCAAGCTGAAGTTAATAAAAAGACATCTATGCTCCACAATAACACAGGAGAGGCTGGTCAGCCTTGCAACCATCTCAGTAGAGCATGAGCTGGCCCAGACTGTGGACCTTCAGCAGGAAGCAGTTCAAATCTTTGTAACCAAGAAGGCACGGAGAGCACCACTTTGATTATTCAAACAGATAAAAATGCCAGTGTTTACTATGCAGACAAGAAAAGTTACATTTGCTGTTCAGGCATTTGAAAGTTAAGTGTTACTTAAAATTTTTGAACAAGGCATTTTAAGTTCTTAGTTCTCCTTCATTGGGGTAGGTAGCAGAGCAGTACGATGAGAGGAGTAGAACAGGAAGAAGGTAAAATTGAGACCTTTCAAAGTTTTGGCCCAAGCAAGGTGGCATGGGGGCCAGGAGTGGCTCTAGTTTTTTTGCCGCCCCAAGCACAGCAGGCAGGCTGCCTTCGGTGGCACGCCTGCGGGAGGTCCGCCGGTCCCGCGGCTTCAGCGTACCCACCGCCGAATTGCCGCTGAATCCGCGGGACCGGCGGACCTCCTGCAGGCATGCCGCCGAAGGCTGCCTGACTGCCGCCCTCACGGTGACCGGCAGGCCGCCTCCCGCGGCTTGCCGCCCCAGGCACGCGCTTGGAACGCTGGTGCCTGGAGCCGCCGCTGATGGGGGCGTCATATGAGCTCCCCGGCCAAAATGTTGTGGGCCGTCCCTGTATCTCCCCCTATCCCCGCCCAGTACACTGAGTTATATTTCCTGCAGAAACTGACTTTTCCTCTCAGAAACCAGAAAAAACATCTGAAGTGAACCAACACATTGGTGTTTTCACACAGACTGGATTTTCTTTCTGATTATGGCTAGCGGAAGAGGAGAGTTGTTTGCCACAGCCCAGCTGATATTCACAATTGGGAGATAGTATCCTGTCACACTGTAGCAATTACAATAGATCGCTGGGGGCTGGGGGGAGGGGAGAGGGGACAGAACAATTGACAGCCTTCTTTAGCACTTAGGGTGGTAGATTGAGATATGAACCCAGCCAGACTATTACATATACATGGTTTGGTTTACCCATCCTTCTGCATACTGAACTCCCACTAAAGTGAATGGGAGTTTTAAGAGCAGATTGTTCGCTGGACCAGGCCCTAATTAGCTGGGCTGCAATTTACCTCCAGATGAGACCAGAAAATAAGAGAGGAGAGGAATGAAGAACTATTGCTAATGATGTTTTGACTAGCTGCAGAACACTAATCCTAATTTATTAGGATTCTGTATTTGCACACTTCAGTGTAAAAAAAATCATTTAAAAAAAATAGAATTAGTCCAGTAAAATGCAAATTCCTATGCAGTTGCAGTTTCATATCTGGTTTTGAGAATTCAGCTGCCATATCCCTCTAAATATTTATTTTAAATTGTTTCTTTGGTTCTTTCTTCTTTGATTGACAGCCTGTATCCAATTATAATTAAAATATTAAAGGCTGTTCTGGAAAAGCAGTTAGTAGCTAACAATAGTCCTTATGATCTCTCCCAGCACAAATAACATCAGGGGAATCCTTAATCATGCTCAGCACAGTCAGTCTCCTGAACTCACCACTAAAGGCCATACATGGGTACTTAGAACGGGGTGATAGGAAGAATTAATGTGGCGTTCAGTTGAAATGGGCTCTTTCATTTTCATAGAGCTGAATCAGGGTTATTGAGCTCAGTCACACAGAGACTACTTGGCAAAGATCTAGTGAAATGGGGTTTTGGTTGATTTCAGGCCCTTGAAGAAATGGTCAGGACTATGTTTGTAAAGGTAACATCTCACCTACAATCTCCCCAATAATTTTTATGGGAACTGTTAGTTTTCAAGAAGTGGAAAAGTGGAAAAATATTTATTTAATAAGATGAGGGATTTCTCAGTATTACCTACACTAGCATGTCAATTTTATGATGAAAAGTGGTTGCAATGTAGTAAATTTCACTGTTATTATTTACACTTTCATCAATGAATTCCTCAGGCATTTGAATGTTCAAAGACAAGGTAAATATCCCTATTTAAAATAAAAGTAAGGTGATATAGTAAGTGATAAGGTTACATCTTATGTACCATAATGGTAAAGTTATATTTACTTTAAAGAATGTATTTGTAACTGTACAGCATTTACAGCCTTAGTAGAAAAATACAACCTGTCCTTTAAGTTTCTCTGAAGGAGCGACAACAATATTAGTGGCATCTGGACCTTGCTGCTTTCGGATTCTGGCATAAATAGCTCTAACTTCCACTTGCTGCTTGATGGCTGTGAGAAACATTTTAGAAAACAAAGTATTAAAACTGTACTTTCAAAAATGTATTATCAAGATGTAAAAACAGCTATGATTGATACTTATGATACTTGGAAGCTTCTATCCAGCCCAGTCACATACAGCACTACATATGTTAAAGGCATAATTACATGAGAGAATAAAGATACCAATAATACATTTAATGTGAATTACCTGGATTCTCAGCCATAAATCCCACTACAGAGCTTTAGAGGAAATGATTCAACATTTCATGATAGGTACGCAGTTCATATTGGTCATTACAGTTCTAGCCAACTTTGTATATCACATAAGCTGCATGCAGAGAGCAGAAGGCTGGTGGGTGGGGTAGAGAGAATCATTAAAGTAGAGACAGAAGAGCTGGAAACTGCAGCAGCTTGACCTTGTGGCGTTTCTAAGTAGTCATCCATTCAAGCATAAATGTGTTTGGGAGTCTAGAAGAGAAAAGGGAGTGTGGCCTTCTAATCCCAAGGATACCCAAGATCTTTGAGGAAGAGAAGCCCTAGTTCCAGAGACAGAAACATCTTAATGCAGGCCTGACCCTCCCTGCAGCTCTGCTGGGCCTCTTCCTTCCTATAAGAGCAATAGTGCTATTGGTCAAGTCTCATCACAGTTACAAAGTAACAGCCTAAGAAAGGACACTGAGGATGTTAATGTTGAAGACAACAAGAAATGCTGATCGAATATCCGAAACCTCAGCAGGGAATGCAATTTGGCTGGTCACCTGCTTTACTCCCATCATCCTTGTCTCCAAAATCTTGTGGAGTCCTCACCCCACAGAGCTTTCATAGAGTCTCAGAGAGCTCAGGACAATACTGTGTTTCCCTTCAACACCTGCCAAGAGAAATCTGGTGGATCTTTGTTTCATCAGCTTGCAGAAATGGAGGGGATAATTTAGTTTTTGGATTTCAAAAAATACTGGGATAGTAGTCAGATTTAGAGTGGCACAAGGGAGATTTAAATATTTCAAGACAGAAGTGGAAGAATCAGGGAATATGATGTACTGGAACTCACCTGAGTGATACACTATATACTGCAAAATGCAGTTCCTTTAGTGACAACAGTAATGTACCTGGAACATACTACATTTCACTGAAACATCAGCAGCACAACAATGGCCACTGAGGATAAACATTGACAGAGTTAATTCAGACAGGGTGAAGGTTCTGAAATTGAGTTAGAGCACATTATGGACTACAAGCTGGAAAAAAAATCCCCTCAGTGAACATAGGGATCATTGGAATAGCCAACATACCTTCTCAGATTTTGATTAGTGGTGCTGGATGTAGGTTTTCTTTGAAATTATTCTTTAATTTCACATATCAAGTAAGACTCTGATCTTTTCTTATGGCTAAAATATTTTGAAATCAAATATTATGATTTAAGGCACCAAATAAAAACTAGTTTTGAATCTATTCGTGTGACTCTTGCTTATTAATACCATGTTCTAAATCATTCTGTACACAGCTCAAGGGGACACCAAACAATCTATTATGGTGTATTATGTTTATAACCATCATGCTGCCTGCTTCCTTTCCCACTCGGTTCTAGCCAACATGTCACAATAGAGCAGTATGTGAAAAGGCAATACATTCATGGCATTTAGAAGTGCTACATCTCTCAATTATGAGAAGTAGTAGTAAATAATTGCAACTGCACAACAGAAATACAGACTACATCTAGAATGTTTTGTTGCCAGTGCATGACCTCTTTTGGTCACCTCACTAAATCAAAATTATTTAGTAGTTTATGCCAAGAAGTGTGTGTATCTAATCTAATCATCTAAAAGTAAAACCTTATGGTAGAACCTGGACTAAACATAGCTTAAAACAAGGGTTTAATTTAATTAGGTGAGGACACTTCTAGCCCACATCAACATGAAGCGACATACATAAGGCAGAATTTACTAGCTACATCAGCTTTCCCAGGCTAATATGTTCAATAATGAACAAAAGAAGGTAAATACTGTTTGTATGTATTGTTATACAGCCATCCAATTCACTGTTTCTTTTTAAGCAATGCCAATACAGTGGTCCTTTGAAATGTGGCTTTCTGATAATGCAGAATATAAATATTGATCACCACTTTCATTTCAGCTGGACAGAACATACTTCAGTTTATTGGAGGATAAGATATTCATGAAAGCTACTGTTATTTATCTCACTACTAAATCTCTCTGTTGTTTTTTCTCAATTTCAAAGGGCTAGATTGTGCAGCTTTGAATGGGTACACCTACCCTGTAGCTGCCCCTTCTGGCCAAGTATGGGTTTACTGAGGCCTTCCTCAGTTTCTCCTTAACTGAGGCACCCTTAGAAGAGTTCATACAGGCCAGATATTCAAACAGTCTCCTTCTGGGATCTCATTTATTATACCCAGCATGAAGTCTTTCGAAAGTAAACTCAAACCTTCAAAGTCTTCATCCCAGTTTCAGCTAGGCCCAGTCCCTCCTCCCTAAGGGTCTGTCCTCTCTAACAATTAATTTATTTTTTCCCAGTCCCAACCTAAGCACCAGCCTTCCTCTCCGAGGGCCTGTATTTCTACTCTCTCAGTACATATTGCCTGGAACTTGACCTTCTCAGCTGATGTTCCTCCCCCCTGCCCTCAATAGCCTTCTTACTCCCTGCAGTGTCTAGAGCAGGGGTCTCAAACACGCGGCCCAGGGGCTGCACGCGGCCTGCAGGGTTGTTTTCTGTGGCCCGCAAGCTCCTCGCGGCCCCCCCCAGCGTTTACCTAGAGCGGCTCCAGCCCGACGCGCACCAGGGTACGGGCAGGCTCCCTGCCTGCCTGTCCCCGCACCGCTCCGGGAAGCGGCCAGAACGTGGGGAAGGGGGGGCACAGGGCTCTGTGTGTTGCTCTTGCTTCAGGCAGCGCCCCCAGCAGCTCCCATTGGCCGCAGTTCCCCGTTCCCAGCCAATGGGAGCTGCTGGGGGTGGTGCCTGAAGCAACAGCAACACACAGACCCCTGTGCCCCTCCTCCCCCAGGTTCCGGCCACTTCCTGGAGTGGTGCAGGGACAGGCAGGCAGGTGGCCTGCCCTGCCCCCGGTGCGTGTCGGGCCGGAGCCCCCCCCCCGAGTCCCTCCTGCAGCCCAATCCCCTGCTGTACCCCACACCCCTCCTGCAGCCCAACCCCCTGCTGTACCCCACACCCCTCCTGCACCCCACACCCCAACTCCCTGCCCTGAGCCCCCACCACACCCCTCCTGCCCTCCCTGGGGGGCAGGAAGGGGGCAGAGTTGGGGTGGGGATTTCAGGGAAGGGGTTGGAATGGGGACAGGGCCTCATGGAAGGGGTGGAGGGGGGGCGGGGCCAAGGGTGGCGGGGGGAGGTGTCAGTAATGTGGCCCTCGGCCAATGTACTAGTCCTCATGTGGCCCTCGTGGTCATTTGAGTTTGAGACCCCTGGTCTAGAGGCACCTTCCAATCTGCAGCTATCATCCAGGTGAGGGTGATACAATACTTTAAATTACTGGAATTTAGAAACCTACTGCTGGATTGATAAGAGAGGTAACACAGATAGTTTGCAACTTGGGGATTTTATCACACCAGTAATATCAGGAACAAGAATGAAGGAAAAATAGGAAAATTAAGTAAAAGCTTGAAGAGCAGTTCAATGGCTAAAACAAAGTATTAATGTAAAATAAGTCTGTTAAAAGAAAATCATTATAAAATACTTGGTTGGTTTTAATGTTATTTTAAACTACTGTAGTTTGTAAAGTGTCATATTAAAAACATTGGGTAAAATCCTGGCCCCATTTATGTCAATGGGAATTTTGCCATTGTCTTCAGTAGGGACAGGATCTGATCCATTATGTACAGTTAAGTTACAGTTTAATTTAACCTATCTTTCTAATAACAAACAATGGGACACATAGCAAGTTTTGACATCTTCTTTGATGAAGGTCAAATCTGAATCTGTGATTAATTACCTTTTCTGCTCAGAAAAGGATTTCCAGCAGAAACACACAGAAGCATGTCTCTCTCTATTTCATCCCATGACTGGAGTGGCTCACCATCCGGTGTATACAGAGCCTTGGCAGGCTGTTGCATATTTAGCCTGGTGGTGCAGTTATCCAGCAGCTGAAATGGAGAAAATTGTGTTGATACTGAGCACTGCATACAGATGCACAGACTTATGCTGTAAAATAAACACAGAAATACAGTTCGCCAGACATGGTGGAAGAACACCAAACAGATGATGAAAGAGATATTACAGAACCCCGTGCTGTAGAATCTTCTCTGGATCCCAGACCTGAAATCCTTATTCAGGCAAACCTTTCATTAATGTTCATGAGAATTTTGCCTGAGAAAGGAGGTCAGGATTTGGTTCATACAGAGAAAGGCAGCAGAGACAGAAACAACATTGTAAAGAGAATATGAACAGAAAGCAGTAGGGACATTCTATTAGAACTATCGCTTTATACTGGGACATTTTAAAAATAAGCACCAAAAAAATAAAGACCAAAATTAATGAACCTTCAAATTACATATATTTGTCTGCATGTGAATGGTTAATATAATTCTATTGGCTCCCCCTATTTAGCTCTTTCTGGATTTATGGAATGCTTTAGCTCAGTGTTTGGGCAATTTCAAGAATTTTATCTGTGGTTTGGTCTTAAGATCAATGTATAGTTTCAGAACGAGACAAAGAAAAAGGCCTTAAAATATGTGTGTCTTAATCTACATACACACATTTAAATACATACACAAGTTTATATAAATGACTATATGTATATAAATGAATACTTGTTTTACTATATTATTCTAACTCTTCTAGATAGGTATTACACACTTCAACCATTAAGTAAATAAGTCAAGATAATAAACTGATTGTTCCAAACAAACAGAAGTTGAAAATATACAAAAATCTAATAATTCATGGCTGCTCTGCTCTCAAATCTGAAAGAGAATTCATCAGAGCCTACTGCAAGAGCTGCTCTGGCTCCCAGAGACGCTCCACTGGGGCAGAGGGTGAAAGCCACTGCAATACTGAGGGAGAAGCTATGAGAGCAGCCTTGGCATGGGAAGGAGATTGTCCCCCTGAGTCACTTTGATGCCAGAGCAGGAGGCAAAAACTACTTTAATGCCAGGCTTGGAGCTACTACTTTATGCAACAGTACACAATGCGTGGGGGAGAAGTGGATGGACAGCAGCTGTAATAATTCAAAGGACCAGGTGGCTGCAGTTGGAGGTCTTGGGGAGGACAGCAGTTATTGGAGAGGAGAAGGAAGCAGTAACAGAAGCTGGGAAACTGTGGGCAGGATAGGCATGTGTGATTCTGATAACCTGGGTCTCACATACATGTATTATATACAATAATAACTCAGCAAATATTGGAGGAGATACAATTTCACCTTGATGTTCTGATGACTACACAACCCACTTCACCTTTGCTCCTGTGCTTTTGTCATGTTTCTGAAGCCCTCATACTATAAAGAGAAAGGCTAGGAATCTCCTTGGAGGGTCCTTGAAATAAGCAATTAAAACAGAGTGGGACAGATGGTGGTGCAAACACCAGTGGTTGTCAAAAAATGAAAAGAAAAGGTTACTTTGTAAACAATTCACTTGAGTTACCCCCTCTGGCACACAGGGGTGGGGCCAAAGGCATTCCATTGCACCACTTGACCTGATTACCCTATTGCAATCCCACAGAAGGTCTGCTGAGAGACCAGCAGAGAGGCAGCTTTATCTTTCAGTTGGGGCTCGGTGAGAGCTCTGCCAGCACTGACTGCATGAGGTGATGCAAATAATCAGTGCATTTCCCAGCCAGCATGATCACACTTCCTTTCTGGCCTTTTGGGGGCTGTACTGGCTAGATGCGACCTCCCAAGCAGAGCGAGAGTTGCAGATGCTTTGTGTTGGCATGCACTTTCCCCTTATCATGGCCCTATCTTCTTGGATCATATGGCTGAATTTGGCTCGTGATCTAAAATAATGTAATCATTTAAATTTAGGATAATCCTATTCACAGGTTTACTTTAACAAATGATATTTCCTACAATAATGAAAACAAATAGAAATACATTTGTACATTTGTTTATGAGAAAATATTCTAGATCTAAAAATCAGCATATACTGACGAGCTTTACAATTCTGCCATTGTAAGCATGAACAGAAAGCGGAGGACTTTTTACCTTGGTAATTTGATGATGTACCATATAAATTGCTACTGCCTTGGGTCACAGTACATCACACATTCTTTTGCCTGAATTGTTTCCATTATATTATTAAGGGTATCTGCAGAAAGTCCATTTAAGAGCTTTTTTTGGTAGTTACATCATGTTGGTTTTGGTTTACTAAGGGCCATCATCTTACAGACTATAGAGAAGAATCAAATGAATCCAAGGAAAATCTGCCATAATGGGAAAAGTGTGTTTTCCCTTTTTTCTGCATTAAATATATATTAAACTTGCTAAATCGTAATAAACTCTGACTCCTAAAGCCAGATTCTCTGCTGATGTAATTCCAACACAGAATTCAACCCTTAAAGTCCATGTTTTCCTTAACAGATTTTGAATCCTTATTGAAGCCATCTTTTAGCAATAGGCAGCACTTTTAAAAGACTTAATCCTTCTGCTGTACTTTACCTCTGAAATTGTTTTTCCCCAGGCATAAACTCCTTGCTCGGGTTTATAACCATTCCGGTAAGCCCACACTCTTTTTGCAGATGGTTGATCATACAGACATCTGTGTTTGGATGACAGCAGTTTAGATGAAAATAGAGAACTTCTTTTGAACTGTGATGCTTGAACCTCTGAGAAGTGTGTCTATAATGAAAAGATTTCGGAGAATGTGAAGTTAACATAGGTGCCCCATCCCTTTATAGTATTTTATGTATAGCAAAATAGAAAATGTAGGAGAAGAACAGAATAATCTATTTTTAGTACAATAATATCGTAAATAGTGAGGGGTATATGATGATCTCAATCCATCCCACTGAATGATGACTGATACTTAACTCAGTGGAAATCTGTGAGCAGATTGTGACTATGTGGCCCTAAAATTACCTAATTGGAATTGAGATACTGTATGTTGTAAGATGTATATTTTATGATCAGGACCTCACGTGACTGATATTGAGAGACAATAGCTATCAGATTATATGGTATCCCTATATCACTCAGCCATAACGCTCAGTGATATAAAATTCGGCTTCTCTCTCATGCTTAAATATACAAGACAATGAATCTATAATACATAGTGTAAATACTCATATTATGAATAATAATTTATCCAACCTGGTTTTGAAAAATGACTTGTTATGATGAACTGTGCTTTATCTCTTAATTACATCATAAACATGTCAATATGCTATAATGCCATAGTATTGTTTCTTTTCACAAATTTGTACAAGGCCCATGAGCCTTCAAGACAGTTTTGATTAAAATATTTCCCAAACCAAAGAGTGGAAGTTTTCCAAGATCTTGCACATATATCCTATCTTAATTTTTTCCCTCTGTTTTGGTATATACTATAATATTGACTGATTAACCATATGGATGGAAACTACTTTTTTGAGTCTGGATGTCTCTAATGAAATTAGTAATTCACTCTTTGCTCTTGTCACATATTCAGATATAGCCTTAGGAATGATTAGCATTGAAACTATCAAGCCCATTTTACTATGCTGGATATAATTGCTCATGCACATAACTATAGGGCCTTTTTCATCTTCCTTATTAAGATAATTCTTGGGCTCCATTGAGTTTCATAAACTCATAGACATTAAGGAGAGAAGGAACCATTGTGATCATCTAGTCCAGGGGTCAGCAACGTTCGGCACGCGGCTCGCCAGGGTAAGCACCCTAGCGGGCCGGGCCAGTTTATTTACCTGTTGACGCAGCAGGTTTGGCCAATCGCGGCCCCCACTCACCGTGGTTCGCAGTCCCGGGCCAATGGGGGCAGCGGGAAGCGGCGCGGGCCGAGGGATGTGCTGGCCGCGGCTTCCCGCTGCCCCCATTGGCCCGGGACGGCGAACCGTGGCCAGTGGGGGCCACGATCGGCCGAACCTGCCGCGTCAGCAGGTAAATAAACTGGCCCGGCCTGCTAGGGTGCTTACCCTGGCAAGCCGCGTGCCAAACATTGCCGACCCCTGATCTAGTCTGACCTCCAGCACAGAATCTTACCTGTCCCCTTCTGTAATAGACCCATAACTGCTGGGTGAGCTTCTGAAGTCCTCAAGTTACAGAGAATCCACCATTTACTGTAGTTTAAATCAGCAAGTGATCCACGCCCCATGCTACAGAAAAAGGCAAAAACCCTCCATGGTCTGTGCCAATCTGACCTCGGACAAAATTCTTTCCCAACCCCAAATATGGCAGTCAGTTAAACCCATACTGGAAAGACCCATCAGCCAGACACCTGGGAACGAATTCTCTGTAGTAACTCATAGTCCTCCCCATCTAGTGCCCCATCTCTGGCCGTTGGGGATTTTTTGCTACTAGCAGTCACAGCTGGGCCACATGCCATTGTAGGCAATCTCATCATACTATCCCCTTCATAAACTTATCAAGTTCAGTCTTGAAACAAGTTAGGATTTTTGCCCCCACTGCTCCCGTTGGAAAGCTGTTCCAGAACTTCATTCCCCTGATGATTACAAACCTTCGTCTGATTTCAAGCCTAAACTTGTTGATGACCAGTTTATATCCATTTGTTCTTGTGTCCACATTGGCACTTAATTTGAATAACTCCTCTTCATCCCCTGGTATTTATCCCTCCGATGTATTTATAGAGAGCAAACAGATCTCCCCTCAGCCTTCACTTGATTAGACTAAACAAGCCTAGCTCCTTGAGTCTTCTCTCACGAGGTAGGTTTTCCATTCCTCTGATCATCCTAGTACCCTTTTTCGCACCTGTTCCAGTTTGAATTCATCTTTCTTAAACATGGGAAACCAGAATTGCACATAGTATTCCAGATAAGATATCACCACTGCTCTGTATCATGGCAACAACACTTCCCTATCTCTACTGGAAATACCTTACCTGATGCAACCTAGGATTGCATCAGCCTTTTTCACGGCCACATCACATTGGTGGCTCATAGTCATCCTGGGATCAACCAATACACCCAGGTCTGCTGCTTCCAACTGATAAGTCCCCAGTTTATAGCAAAAATTCTTGTTGTTAGTCCCTAAGTGCATGATCTTGCGCTATTAAATTTCATCCCATTTCTATTCCTCCAGTTTTGAAGGTCCTCCAGATCCTCTGTTATGATATTCCGGCCCATCTCCATATTGCAATACTTCCCAACTTTGTGTCATCCACAGATTTTATAAGCACATTCCCACGTTTTGTGCCAAGGCCATGAATGAAAATGTTAAATAAGACTGGTCCCAAGACTGATCCCTCAGGAGCTCCACTGGTAACCTCCCTCCGCCTGACAATTCACCTTTCAGTCTGACTCGCTGTAGTCTCCCCTTTAACCAGTTCCTTATCCACCTTTCAATTCTCATATTAATCCCCATATTCTCCAATTTAACTAATAATTTCCATGTGGAACTATATCAAATGTCTTGCTGAAATCATGTAGATTAGATCTACTAAATCTAAAAAATCAGTTCTCCTCTCAAAGAAGGAGATCAGGTTGGTCTGGTACAATCTACCTTTTGTATAACCATGTTGTATTTTATCTCAAATACTGTTTGAAAACCTTGTGTGTGTATTTGGCAGCCTGTGAATACTGTTTCAGATAATGAAATATATAGGCTGTACTGAGTCACATGATCAATCTATCATAGGACTAGTGTAAAATCTAACCTTGTGATAAAATTCCTCAACAACATGAATGTTGTTTTTAATTTTGGAATATTGATACAGATTGTATTTTATACCTCGGTATGTTGTATATTTTCCATGAGTTTCATCTCTTCTTGGGTTTCTTCAGTCCAGCCTCCTTCTACTACTATAGGCTGAACTGGGCTTTTTGTGGGCACCAAAGTGGATGGTTTAAAGGCTGTTATTCGTCGCCCTGAGGCAGAGAAATTTCAAAATAACTCTTGTAAAACCATGTTTTTTTACTTTGATGGTCTATTTTATTTTTTTCTTACCTCTGGTCACAGAACTTTTAAAGCTATTAGTCCTAAAATACTAAATATAATTTGTAAAAACAAACAGTACACATAGCAAGCAAGGCCAGGCAATGAGCGAGACAGACATATCTATGCAGACCAAGTAAAAGTCTAATGTGAACACCACAATCCAGATAAATATTAGATAAAATTTCTAACTCGCAGCATCAATTTCATTTTCTTTCAGTCTGTAACATATGTTTTGTTCTCCCTTAATAAGAGATGATTAAGGGGGATATGATAGAGGTCTATAAAATCATGAAAGAGAAAGTGAAGATGGAAGTGTTATTTAGCGCTTCACATAACACAAAAAACATGGATCACCCAATGAAATTAATATGCAGCAGGTTTAAAACAAACACAAGGAAGTACTTCTTCAGCCAACGCACAGTCAACCTGTGGAACTCGCTGCCAGGGGATGTGAAGGCCAAAATATAAATGGATTCAAAAAAGAATTAAATAAGTTCACAGAGGATAAGTTCATCAGTGGCTATTGGCCAAAATGGTCAGGGATGCAATTGCATGCTCTGGGCATCCCTAAACTTCTGACTGCCAAAAGCTGGGTCTGGACAATAGGGGATGGGTCACTCAATAATTGCTCTGTTCTGTTCATTACCGCTGAAGCATCTGGCACTGGCCACTGCTGGAAAACAGGATACTGGGTTTGATGGACAACTAGCCTGACTGTATAGTTATTCTTATGTTCTTATGACAACTTTTTGGTTTCCTACAGGAAGCTGCAGTAAAGCACATGGCCAGACTCTTTGTTTGGCTCTAACCTCTTCATGCTGTTTTGCTGAGGGAGGGTCCACAGGAGGCAGAGAACTAGTATGGCCATTTACTGCTATACCATCCTCCCCTCAGCCTCCAGTGCAAAGGGTGCCTAGGGTTAACCACAACCAGCTAATGTGTTTTTAAACATTATTGTCCCTCTCCACACTCAGTATATGTCTACACTAAACCTTTTTACCTTGAGTTAATTGATTGCCAAGTAACTTGAGGCACTTAACACATTTATAAAGTCTACTGTGAACACTACCCAAATATCTGTTTCTAGCACAAACCCTTAATTCTATCAGTTAAAACATGTTAGTGAATGCATTTTCTAACAAAATGAATTTTGTCTGCATAGAAAAGGCTTTCAACGTCCAAATACCCACTGAAGCTTAACATTTGCGATCAAATCTGAGTGGGTGAACCCAGCACCTGCATGGAGCCCCAATGAAACCAATGGGGCTTCATGTGGGCACAAGGGATGGATCCTATTGCAGGGTATTGGGTATTGGGCGCCCAAAGGTTAGTCTGCACTTGCAAGTTTGGAAGTTGTACAATTTAGTCAGCCACTTTGGAAACCAAAGTTTAGTTATCATAAATATCACAACAGTTCCAAATTAAATGCATACTGATACCAACCTTGCAGCTGTCTCATTTTGTGCTTCATAGCATCTAGATCAGCCAAAATTTTGTCCTTCTCTAACCAGTTTTGTTTCTCTTGCCTTGCTGCCTTTTGCAAAGCTGTAATAAAAGAAATATATAATATTTCTACTGGTTATTTTTCTTTGTAGTGGTTTGCATTAATAGGTTTTTTTTGGCTGACTGATTAGTATAATTGGATCTCTTTTAGCAAATAGTTTTTAAAGAACTTGAGCGTATTAGCGAGTTAAACAGATCCAATTACAGACAAGTAATTAAAATGTAAGTGTCCTCAAAAAAACCCCCCACCTCTCTGAAAGCATATGAAGCTTAAGGAATGTCTCTGCAGAGCAAGACACAAAGACATATTGATTTAACATGTACAGTACTGTACTACATTTACTTTTCCAGTATTGCATACTTAAGTATAGCGGTAGAAGATTGGTTTAACATTTTTTTAAACATGCTCCTGCTGATAGAAGAGCTTTATTCTTACAAATGACAATGTTCAGACAATTAGTCCTCATTGTGAAACAAATAACTAGCACTATGCTTGAATCATTGCTCAACAGTCCATACATCTTACTATCTACTTTGAATTTTATTGACATAATGGGTATAATTTGGAGGTTGATTTTAAGCTTCTGGATAATACATGTAATATATACTAGCCATACCTTTCTTTTTAGGTGTCCAATTGTGCAAAGACTTATGTATGTGATTAACTTTACTCAAGTGAGGAGTGCAAATGAAATATATGTGTGTGTGTGTGTGTGTGTGTGTGTGATGTAGTTGTAACAGCATAACTTTTATCCCAGATAAGATATTTAATTTTTATTCCTCACTAAAATAAAGTGTTTTAGAATTTGCTCTGAGATTTTCATTCTCTTTTGAAGGGCTTGCCCACATGGAGACTTAGTGCATGACAAACAAGGATGTAACTCTACAGAACCCTAGCTTGCCACACACTAACTAGCTCTGTGGACCTTGCTACTGCACTCTTAAATTTCCATAGTGGGTTTGACCTACAGCTGTTGTTTGAAATAGCAATAGTTCAAAGCACATCATGGAATTTTTAGAGTGCAGTTGTAGGGTCCACGAGGTGACTTACAGCACTGCAGGCTAGTGCACTGTAGATTTACATCCTGGCTTGCTGTGCACTAAGTCTCAATGTGGATAAGCCCTAAGTATCTCACTTGTGTGAAGGGGGAAAGAAACCCAGTAAACTCATACCATCCAAAGGTAGAAAAGGTTCTCCACAGGAAACCCAGACCTCGATAGGATTTCTGAGGATGATGGTGAGCAAAGAATCATCTATCATGTTCAAACTGTCTGGAGTCATCAAGGATAATTCTGACTTTATCTTCACTTTCTCCATGTACTTATCTTTGTATTTGGAAAGAAACAATTACAAAGTTTATCTTTATATCACTTTACCCTAAAGAGTTTTTTCTCATCTTATTACAGTAGAACCTCAGAGTTATAAACACCAGAGTTACGAACTGACCGGTCAACCACACACCTCATTTTTGAACTGTAAGTATGCAGTCAGGCAGCAGAGACAAAAAACAAACAAAAAACAGACAAACAGAACAAATATTGTACAGCACAGTATTGTGTTAAATGTAAACTACTAAGAAAAATGGAAAGTTTAAAAAAAGACTTGACAAGGTAAGGAAACTTTCTGTGTTTGTTTTATTTAAATTAAGATGGTTAAAAGAAGCATTTTTCTTCTGCATAGTAAATTTTCAAAGCTGTTTAAGTCAAATGTTCAGCTGTAAACTTTTGAAAGAACAACCATAACATTTTGCTCAGAGTTATGAACATTTCAGAGTTACGAACAATCTCCATTTCTGAGGTGTTTGTAACTCTGAGGTTCTACTGTAGTTTAATTTAGACTGCACCACACAATTTTTTTATCTTTATGTTCACATACTGGATATGAAGAATATTAAGATGAACATATTAAAATAAACTGTTCATTACTTATAACAACTAACAAAAGCTTAAATAGATAATATTTGCAGCACACAGGAATGTGGCACAGTGGTAATATAGAAGAGTGACACATAATAGAAAGAACAACGGGATGGGGGAAAGTGGTGATTATAAAGGGCATTTTATATATAGGAAAGGGAGCAAAAGTGATCAAATCTGAAGCACTGCTATTTGAGGACAAAGCAAGCATGCAAATGAAGGTCTCACAAGGATAGGTTAAGTACAAGCAGATAAGAACCTTTGGGGTTTCTCCCATTGCTTTAGAAAACTCTTAGGAATTGTTCACCACTAGTTTAAATATACTCTACTTGAATATTATGGCAGACCCATTGTGATGTTGTAATTAAGGTTGCGTTCTGTTTTGCACTTGCAGTGGGAGTTCAGCCTGTTAGTTTGAGATGAAAAACACAGTATCTTTGCTCCAAGTTTCAGCATGCAATCTGAGAAAAGCTAGAATTTTCTGAAGAAGTTTCCAGAAAATCAGTTACTTAGTTTGAATCAATTGAAAATTGGCCCTCAAAAGTTCACATGCTCAGTCTCATGATTAATTGGGCGCCTTCATCTTAAAAACTACAAACTGTACAAAAGGCCAAACTGCGTATACACTGCAGTGAGAGTCTGCTGGGCTCTCTGGGGTTATGTAATTATGTGATTCATTATCTATTTATTATTTGTATTACCATAGCACCTAGGAGTCCTAATCATGGACCAGCATGCCTTTGTGCTAAGCACTGTACAAACACAAGACCAAAAAAAAGATGCTCCCTGCCCCAAAGAGCTTACAAATATATGTATTAGACGAGAGATAGCAGATGGATTTTAAAAAGTTGTTTGCAGTGTTGTCACCGTGCTGATCCCAGTATATGAGCAAGACAAGGCGGGTGAGGTAATAACTTTTATTGGACCAACTTCTGTTGGTGAAAGAGACAAGCTTTTGAGCTCTACATCTGCAGCACACAGGAGGTTTTCAAAAGGAGGCTGGTGTCTTGGATGGTTTAGACACAACAAATCCTGCATCTTAGCATGGGGTTAGACTAGATGACCTTGACAGTCCCTTCTAACCCTATGGTTCTATGATTCGAAGACTACTGCTTCTGTGACTTACCCGTGGCAGAGACCAAGTGCTAAATATATAATGATCCAAATTAATGGATCAATACAATTAAACTAAAACAATGCTCAAAGGCAAGGCAAAAAAACAAACAAAAAGAAATTTATGATGAAGCCTGAAGCTCACCAAACTCCAGGTATGGTGGACTACTGTGGAGAATGAATCCCTAAGACTCAGCTGAGAAAGCTCTGCTAGCAGCTGTAAAGTGAGAATCCTAGGAAATGAGAGCATGATCTTATATTTTTGCTGCTGCAACAAGGCACAGGTGGCAGAGTGTCTCTCACGACCAGGTCCCAGACCATTAAGGCCAACACAAGCAATTGCATCTGGAAGTCTACAGGACACCACAACACCATAATACGTCTTACTGTATGATATAACAAAAGCCCCTTTATGTATTTACAGCCTTGTTATTCACAGGTAGTGGTAGTTTTCCAACACCAATAACAAGAATGAATATGTTGTGAAAATACAATACTGCTTGTTTATCCCACAGGAAGAACATAACTTCTTAACATAAATATTTTTGAAAATTGTACCCACAGTCACTTTTGTTTAGTGCAGCACTGAACTGTTTTTAGCTCATTTTTATATTTATTTTGAACAGCAGATCACTGTAACTTTATATTCACTAGAGTATTTTTGATTAGTATATAATTTAAAAACAAATATTTTTTCATGTTTTCTATCTAGTGATTTGCATTTGGTGTTGCTTTCCCTTGTCTAGTTTTCCCTCATTTATGTATTTATTTTTGCTGTATGATTTGCTATTCGAACACAGTATCTTTGTGAAAGGGGCTCATCCTATTTCTTTCCCATCTATTAATTCTGCAAGCAGCATGCTAGCACATATGAGGCCTCTCATTAAAAGCAGCTGACTTTGTATTAGGCATACTTCCATTTCTTATCAAGTTTCTTATCAAGTTTGCTGGTAGGGTCCATATCGGCAGAGCCACCAACACGGGAGGCAAAAGGGGCAGGGACATTAAAGCCACCGCAGCGCTTTAAGGACGGTCCTTTGCCGCGGCAGTGCTTTAACGTTTCTGCGCCTCCTCCCGTGGTCAGCGGGCAGTGGGGGGGGCGCAGCAACGTTAAAGCGCTGGCGAGGCAAAGGACCCTGCAGCACTTTAATGTCCCTGCCCCTTTGTCCCCTCCCCACAGCCTCCGACGGGCGGAGGGGGGCAAAGGGAGCAGTTGCCCTGGGGCCAATTTAAAAGGGCCTGGGGCTCTGGACGCTGCTGCCAGCATCCGGAGCCCCGGGCCCTTTCAATCAACACAGGAGTCCTGGGCAACACGGGCCACGGGGCCTGGAAGGGCTGGTTGGGGGATGCTGGCCCCTTCTGCCCGAGTCTCCCCCCCCCCCCGCCCTCCAGCCCGTACCAGTAAGTGTCCTGACTTACTTTCACCGCTGCATATAATCAACTCTTTATTATCGGCTTTCATTGAACTTTAGCTTTATTTAAGAGAGAAGGGAGGGTGGTATTGATTGTCTGTGGGAAAGTGTGAAGGGGGAAGTTATAGTCACAACATCTGGGCAAGGTGAGGGCTTGCATGGGGATGGAGACAGAAAGGAAGGTTATTGGTCAAGAATAAGAAATTAGGAAAGGGGGAAAGCAGTAAAGTAGGCCTGGAACTACATAAGTATAATGCAGAAGTTACATACAGAGCTAAATAATTAACTTGTAGGCGGAGATTTTCAAAGGTACAAAGGGAAGTTAGGTGACTCAACTCTCATGGAACTTCAATAGGAGTTGGATGCCTACCCCCCTTTTGTGCCTTTGAAAAAATCTGCTCCTTAAATCTCAAGTTGTCCTCTCCCCCACCTCTTTCTGTTTGTACCTTGATTATTTAGGCCCATGTAGAGTTCATTGCAGACTCAGGGCCAGTTCTTTGGAGCAGGGATCTACCTTTTTACGTAACTGAGAAAGGGCCTACTAAGCTTTTTGGGGTGGAATTTTCAGAAGTGCTTGAGCAACTTACGAGCACAACTCTTATAGGATTCATGATTCTTAGACGTTTAGGCACTTTTGAAATTCCTACCCTTGGAAGTAATATATACCTTATAATAAATAGTAATGGTAATTAGGGCTGTCAATTAACTGCAGTTAACTCAAGCAAAACAAATTAACTAGATTAAAACAATTAGTCGCAATTAATTGCAGTTTTAATTGCACTATTAATAATAGAATACCAATTTATATTTATTATAAATATTTTTGGATGTTTTTCTACATTTTCAAATATTTTGATTTCAATTACAACATAGTATACAAAGTATACAGTGCTCACTTTATTTTTGATTACAAACATTTGCACTGTAAAAAGATAAACAAAAGAAATAGTATTTTTCAATTCACCTCATACAAGTACTATACAGTAACTCCTCACTTAAGTCATCCCGGTTAACGTTGTTTCATTGTTACGTTGCTGATCAATTAGAGAACATGCTCGTTTAAAGTTGCGGAATGCTCCCTTATAACGTTGTTTGGCAGCCGCCTGCTTTGTCCACTGCTTGCAGAAAGAACAGCCTGTTGGAGCTAGCCGGGGGGGGGGGGGCGCGCGCGTTGGAACCTTGGTGGACCGGCAGCCCCCCTATCAGCTCCCCTAAGTTCCCTGTGCGGCAGCCGCCCAGCAAGCTATCAATTGCCAGGCAGTTCAGCTGTCCCTCCCCGCACTGCCTGCTCCTGCCCACTGCCTTGAAGCTGCTCCCGGGAGCATACTGCTTGCTGTGTAGGGGGGCACGGGGGAAGAGGGGTGCTAATGTCAGGGTGTATGTGTATATATATATATATAGTCTTTTGTTTGGCGAAATTTTTTTTCCTGGAACCTAACCCTCCCCTCCTCCCATTTACATTAATTCTTATGGGGAAATTGGATTCGCTTAACATCGTTTTACTTAAAGTAGCATTTTTCAGGAACATAACTACAATGTTAAGCGAGGAGTTACTATAGTGCAATCTCTATCATGAAAGTGCAACTTACAAATGTAGATTTTTTTTACATAACTGCACTCAGAAACAAAACAATACAAAACTTTAGAGCCTACAAGTCCACTCAGTCCTACTTCTTGTTCAACCAGTCGCTAAGACAAGCAAGCTTGTTTACATTTACAGGAGATAATGCTGCCCAATTCTTATATACAATGTCACCTGAAAGTGAGAACAGGCATTCACATGGCACTGTTGTAGTTGGCGTTGTATGATATTTATGTGCCAGATATGCTAAACATTTGTATGCCCCTTCATGCTTCAACCATCATTCCAGAGGACGTGCTTCCATGCAGATGATGCTCGTTAAAAAATAATGTGTTATTTAAATTTGTGACTGAACTCCTTGGAGAGAATTGTATGTCTCCTACTCCATGGTTTTACCCGTATTCTGCCATATATTTTGTGTTATAGCAGTCTTGGATGATGACCCAGCATATGTTGCTGGATTTAAAACACTTTCACTGCAGTTTTGACAAAATGCAAAGAAGGTACCACTGAGATTTCTAAAGATAGCTATAGCACTTGACCGAAGATTTAAGAATTTAAAGTGCCTTCCAAAATCTGAGAGGGATGAGATGTGGAACATGCTGTCAGAAGTCTTAAAAGAGCAGCACTCCAATGCAGAAATGACAGAACCCAAACTACCAGAAAAGAAAATCAACACTGTTGGTGGCATCTGGATCAGATGATGAAAATGAATGTGCATCAGTCCACACTGCTTTGGTTTGTTATCAAACAGAATTCATCATCAGCACAATTGACCAATCAGCATTCCTCGACATCTGAAGATTCATTCATGCCGATGATGCATCACCACCCAATTGGAAAGATTTGATAACATTCAGCACACTCTAACTGGGTCTCTGAGTGTGCCTGGAGAATACTATTGCACATGGTTTCTGAATGCCAACTCTAGCAAGACACAAGTGCACAACTTCCACCTGGCCAAGCACCATCAGGCTAAGCAAAAACTCCAGGGGATGGTACTATCCTACAATATTTTGAATATCTGGTGTATCTTAGGGTCACATTAGACTGAACACTAACATTCAAAGAGCACATCGAGAAACTGAAAAAAAAAGTGAACTCCAGGAACTGTGTATACCAGAAACTGGCCAATACAAAATGGGGAGCTGACCCAAAGACACTCTGTTACTCAACTGTGGAGTACTGTGCTCCATTATGGTCATTCACACTATGCACACCAAATAGATATTGAACTCAATCAACCCTGTAGGATCATCACAGGGACTTTGAAACCAACGCCCACTGTATCACTATACTACCTCATGACAAAATGGCGGGAAATGCCGATGTTCCTGAAGAACCTGATTCCTTCAGAACAACACCCTGAGGTGCTGACCTCGAATGAAAATACTTCAATATTCCAAATCAAGAGAGAGTTGGGGTGGCAAAGACTGGTGACAATATGGCTAACTGGAAACTGGAAAAATGAGCCCAAATGTGAAACACTAGACAAACACTTGAACACTGCCTGATGCAGAACACCGTGTCAACATCCTGTACCCCTCAGGAACTATTTGAGATAAGTGACAACACGAGGTCTTGGCTGCAGTTTTGGAGTGACAAGCTATGACAGTGGACACAAAAAAACAGATCTGAGTCTCTAAGAATACATGGTACCATCAGAGGAGGCAGTTTAACATAATCTGAGTAAAGTATGTAACATAATACTGTTGTAAAAAGCATGAACATCATTCTGGGATGTATTAGCAGGAGCATTGTAAGTAAGACACAAGAAGTAATTCTTCCACTTTCCTCAGCACTGATAAGGCCTCATGTAGCATATTCTGCCCAGTTCTGGACACTGCACTTCAGGAAAGATGTGTACAAATTGGAGAAAGTCCAGAGAAGAGCAACAAAAGCGATTAAAGGTCTAGAAAACATGACCTCTGAGGAAAGACTAAAAAACTGGCCTTGTTTAGTCTGTAAAAGAGAAGACTGAGCGGGGACATAACAGTCTTCATGTGCATAAAGGTTGTTATAAAGAGGAGGATGATAAATTGTTCTCCTTAGCCAGTGAGGACAGGATAAGAAGTAATGGGCTTAAATTGCAGCAAGGTAGATTTAGGTTAGACTTTAGGAAAAACTTCATAACTGTAAGAATAGTTAAGCACTGGAACAAATTACTTGGGGGGGGAGTGTGTGAAATCTCCATCACTGGAGATTTTCAATAACAACATAGACAAACACCTGTCAGGAATGGTCTAGATAATACTTAGTCCTGGTTCAGTGCAGGGAACAGGACTAGATGACCTATCAAGGTCCCTTCCAGTCCTACATTTTTATGATTCTGTGCTGCAGATCAATCTGTTCTCCTGCCAGTGATTCTTGTCCAATCAAGAGTATTGTTATATGAGTAATTTGAGCATCACCAGTCACAGAACAAAGCAAAGTGGTTATGTCTTGCCAGCCCTAAGAGTGTGATACATAAGGTTAGTAGGCCATTATTCATTGCACATAGTAAAGCAATAAGCATATGTTAATTTAGATATTTCCAATGATAATTGGATTTTTGTGTGTAGAAAACTGATATTTATGAATACTGAATTGTTCAATAAGTAATATACTTTCCCAGTTTAATAAAGTATTTAAGCATTTGTTCAACTTTAAGTCAGCAAGTCCATCTCTATTCAGGTAAGCACTTAAGCACATGCTTAATGCTCACTGAAGTCTTAAAAATTTAAGCACATGCTTAAATTCTTTGCTGAATTGGAGACTTTATAAGTGAAGACATCTAGTATTTATAGGAAAATAGGCCCAAACAAAAGTCCAGGAACTGAATGTCTCATTCAAATTGTGAACCTGAATTTCATGGCTGAGGTCCATCTCTAGTAATTAATGCAATTCAAAAATAGAGCCACTGTCTAACAAACTGCAAATTCACTTATTGTTAAAAAGCAGTTTAACTCTTTTGATGAATCTGTTCAAAAAACTTTACTAACTCACTTGATAGAATAATAAATAAATGCATCCATAATCTCAATTCTCATTTAATTTTTATAACATTAAAGAAATCAATCTTTATGCATTTATATATAACAGCAAACCCAAAGATAAAACATGATTGCCAGCTAACATCAGTTTATGTAAAATAGCTCAAAACCTGGTATGAAATTTATATCACCCTGCATATAAACAGTCATCAGTAACTGATTTTGCAATAATCTGGCACTTATTTAATGCAAGTTTAACACAATAAGTCTGATTTTCAAATCAGGGTCATATGGAACAACAGCACCTAATTCGCCTGCACAATTACTTCAGTTGTGTATATACATTAAAAATGTTCACAAGTGCCAAGTTAGGCAGCAGCTAGTATGATTTGTACATACAGTCAAAGTAATTAAACTCTCAAATTAGGTATATGATTGCTTTAGGCTTCTGACTGTTTCGAAATCTGACCTTCTAAGAGTGTGTACTTTAACTTTTCACAAATAATTTCAAAATTAAATATTTACATGCAATGTAATTCATGTTCAGTGCAACATTGTGTTATTGTGTTACCTAATTTGCACAAGAGTAAATCAATGAGAGACTAAAGTTCCTTACTCACATGCAAAATATAAATATAACACATTTGTCCAGCTACAGTGTACTCTCATTAATCTTTTCTCTAGTAGTGTTTGTTATTCTCTAAGAAAATGGAAAACAAAGTAAAGGATTTCCACAGATAATCTTGGAAGCATATGAGCAGAGGCTTTTTTACAGCTTTTAAAAAATCTGTTAGCTCCATGCAAATTCATATTGAACTTGCATGTAGTTCAATATTAATTTAACTAAGAACTTTTTGATTTTGACCTTTTACCTTCCACATCCAGTGCAGCCCTACCTTCAGCATTGTCAGTGATTGCAGTTCTCTCTTTGTAGTCTTCTTCTGAGTCACTTTGTCTGAAACACTCACTTACAGCCCATGTGACTAAATCTGGTAGGGTAAGCATTAGGATTCCGTCATTGGTATATAGTCTGCAGGCTTTCCTGGTAAGTTCAAGTTGTCTTGTACACATGGTAAGCAGCTTAAAAAAACCAGCAACAATAAAACAACGGAATGATTAATCATTCAGAGGTGAAATTCTTCCTTCTGCAGAGGATTTATGTGGGATTTAAGTGGTGCATAGACCTGTGCTGCCCCTTTACATAGGGGAGAAGTTTATCAATAGTGAAAACCAGTCTCATTTTATTAGATATGTTCTAATTCATTTGCAAACGGGAGACAAGTTGGATGATCTAAAGAAAAAACCCAGCAACCTATTTGAATTTGCCCTTCTATTAAAATTTTAGAAACGTATAATAAAATGTATAGAATATAATGACCAATATAGCTGAATATGTTTTCAGTCTAGATGGAATTTGGCAGAACAAAATATTATGTCATGAGATAATATTGGCAAATCAGTCTCCTATATGTTTCTTAATAGCTAGCTCCAAATTCAAGTCCTGTAGCATTCCGTAATGCCCTCACAGAACCCTAATTAATCATTTTCCTTAGATGTATTTGAGATACACAGTATGCCAAAGGATTAAAAGTTATCTACAGTCATAACATAAAATGTTAAGCAAGGTCTCATGTCCTACATAGCACATTTGATGTAAATATGTGGTAGAGCTCCCTAAATTATGTGCCAAGAACCCCAGAACTGTATCACTCCCCACCCTGAACCCTCCTTATTACCTACCCTACTGCAGTACAATAAAATCCCTTGTTAATTTATGTTCAGATTCAATACTATTTATTTCATATTACCCTCCTCTTGCCCCCTACCACTTTCAATGTGCTACATCATTTTATTTTGCATTATAGATTTGTCAGGGACGCTGCTGGAGGTTTGGACAGCTGGGTAGTTTGGGGTTTTGGCAAAGGCATAATGGTGGTTTGGGTTTTTTTGGCAACCAGGAAGCAGATGAGGCTTTTGAGCAAGGATGGAGACAGCTTTAAATTTAGGAGGGGGAATTAACTTTCTCATTTCCCACCTCAAACCCTGATAACTAGATGTCCCACTGCTCTTCCCCAACCCAGCCCAATATCTGCCACTATATTTAACAAGCATGGAGAAATACATAAGCTTGGTATTTCTGTTAAAATGATCAGCATTGAAATAGTTAACAACATTGACATCCACACTTCTCAGAGGTATTGTTTCAGGCTTCCTACATATTCAAACAGACATTATTGCATTGGTTTACAATGAGTTCACACTTTAAAGGTTATCTCTACAACCATATGGGCTGGAATTTTAAATGATTTTTCCTTATATGAAAGTTTAGATTCTGGAGCACAATTGTATGCAGCAATTTCAAAAAGAACAATTATGTTGCAATTTATGTGGCACCATCAGTGCATTTTACATGGGGTTCTGGTGTCAAATATATGATAAAATAACACCAATGTAGGCTGTACTCCAATCACCTTCTCCTAGAAGGGTACAGAGAAGGGCCACTAGGATGATCCGAGGAATGGAAAACCTTTCATATGAAAGGAGACTCGAGGAGCTCGGTTTGTTTAGCCTAACCAAAAGAAGGCTGAGGGGGGATATGATTGCTCTCTTTAAATATATCAGAGGGATAAATACCAGGGAGGGAGAGGAATTATTTCAACTCAGTACTAATGTGGACACGAGAACAAATGGATATAAACTGGCCGCGGGGAAGTTTAGGCTTGAAATTAGACGAAGGTTTCTAACCATCAGAGGGGTGAAATTTTGGAACAGCCTTCCGAGGGAAACAGTGGGAGCAAAAGACCTCTCTGGCTTCAAGATTAGGCTAGATAAGTTTATGGAGGGAATGGTTTGATGGGATAACGTGATTTTAGTCAATTAGGCAATAACGTGCCATCGCTGGTAAAATGAGGGTCCGGCTGGAGAATCTTGCCTGTATGCTCGGGGTTCTACTGATCGTCATATTTGGGGTCGGGAAGGAATTTTCCTCCAGGGTAGATTGGCAGAGGCCCTGGAGGTTTTTCGCCTTCCTCCGCAGCATGGGGCAGGGGTCGCAAGCTGGAGGATTCTCTGCGACTTGAAGTCTTTAAATCACGATCTGGAGACTTCAACAGCTGAGTTAAGGGAAAGTGGGTGGGTCAGCTTTTGTGGCCTGCATCATGCGGGAGGTCAGACTAGATGACCATAATGGTCCTTTCTGACCTTAAAGTCTATGAGTCTATGAGTCTATGAGAATACAAATGGCTGTGACCCAAGTTGGAGTCATCATACTCTAGAATGCAGAATGATTCATCCTTTTGCATAAAGCTTCCCAAAAAAATCTTAGTCCACCTTCTAAGAAACCCCTACTTGCCCAGGAGTGACATGCAGAGATATTAACTCCAGGTGAAGTCTCTTTCTGCCGAAACTGGCAGGGCTTATAGTAAAGAAAATAACTTGATAGGTGGATTGTAACTACTGATTGATCTTTAGCAGAAATAATGGAAGCCATGTTCTATCCTTTCAAGCTCAGAATATTAGGAAGGTATGGTCTTGTCAGATGAGATCTGTTTGCCTAAAGACAGTGGGAACCAAAGACTAATTAAAGGAATTGATCAGTCTTTTAAACTGACTGGCTCATATACACTCATGTCCCTCAGAGGTTCCTGACCTACAAGACTCTCTGTTGCTTTTGACCTACATTAATTACTGAAAGAAATGTAATTCAATGTATTTTTATAAATTTTATTAAAACTATTAAACAAAAAAGATTAAAACCAAGAAGACATCTCACCAAAGCTAAACTGCTGTTAATATTAAACTAAACTAAGAAAGTAATACAACTATTACACAAAATCAAATCAATAAATCAACAAATTAATCTCAATAGTGATTGGAATTAAATTATCAAATTAACACAAAAATAGCCAATCATAGATTCATAGATTCTAGGACTGGAAGGGACCTCGAGAGGTCATCGAGTCCAGTCCCCTGCCCTCATGGCAGGACCAAATACTGTCTAGACCATCCCTGATCATTACAAGTTCTAGGAAGGGATTTAAGGAGGTGGTTGTCCTTTTGGTTATAAACTGAAGAACTGTATCTATAACTTGGAGCTGGGTAAAGGTTTTAATACTGGAACTACGTTATCTAGTGCCTAGCCCACAATTTGAGCTAATTATAAAGCTTCTTCCTTATTTCAATTCTTATGTGGTAGCTAACTCTTTCCCTCACCCCCAACTGAGATATAATATAGACTTTACAAAATACTTCTGCAGTAGTTCAACAACTCTGATCTGGTGACAGTTTCAATTCTCTTAGGACTTGTAGACACAGGACACAGAAAACACTTTAAATGGATAGGTTCTCTCACCAGTCCACAGAAGACTGATGTCACATTAAAGTCTGTTTCAGGCTCTTGCTTAAGGACACAATTTACTGGTCAAACAGAAGCTCGGGCAAAATAACAAAATAAAGTAGTTTCTCTGTCCAACATGGGCTACAGTTGCCAGAGGCTTTTCCCTCACCTCTCTCAGCCCTTCCTGGTCCTACCTGACCAAGGAACTCCTGCAGGAGCCTACCTACTCTCTGTAGTTCTCTCCCTCAACTGAGCTTTTGCTGGCCTTTAGAAGGACTAGGCCCCAGATCCTCAATGGCATTTAGGTGGTTTGTTGACCCTTCTCAGCCACACACTTGATTCTTATAGTTTGTGAATTTTACTTACTCCATCTTCCAGTGCCTTGCTCCAAGGCCTTTGGGCAAATCAGGTGTAAGGCCTACTTTGGCACCATGCAATTTGGTCCAGTCAGGTTTGAATTAGGTCATCCTTAGCTAGCATCAATTTTGAGAAAAGACCTGCTTAAGCCAGACATTTTTAAAATATTTGGTCTTTTGCACATCACAGAGACTATAAGCCTCTGATTCCCAAAATATCAAAAACACAGAAGCTGACATGGTCTTATCTGTGTGAAAAAGTCTTGCAATGAGACTGTCACCAATTTACAGAAAGTTTGACCCCAAAATCCTGTAAAAATGTTCAGAGTTCCAACAGTCAGTCACAATATTAATCTATCAGCAATATTAAAAATAAGCTTGAACATCTTGTGCTCAGTGTCATCATTCTTCCCATAAACAAGATAATTTACAGTAATTTTCTATTTTGGAACTGGGTTATAAGTCAAATAATTTATCTTTAGAAATTTCCATCTGAATAGAGAAAACTTACTTTAAAATCTCTCAAGATTAAACCAAACTTAAAAAAAAAAGGTGTTTACATTTTATATAAGGTCTATATTCCCATAGATGCTATTTCTCTTAGAAGAATCACCACTGATTATAAACAGAAGAAGGAGGCTGTGTTTGGGTCCAGATTAGAAGGTTTAAACTAGGATGAAGAGTTTGGGTTGGGGGCTGAACAAATGCTAAGTTCATGTCTGACAATGGCAAAATCTCTTAAAATGTTCTCCTGCAATTATCAGCCTAAATAGTGGAAATATCATAATTTCAAGTGTTATTGCAAGATTTATGCCATGAAAATGTTTTATCATACTGGGTCATATCAAAACTGAATCTGGAGAATAGGTTCCTACAGGCCCTGGATCAGACTGGGAAACAAACGCATAGGGTAGGACTAAAATTTGTGAATTCAAAACATACACCTCAGCAATTCATGATGAAGGGAGATTTAGCTTTGAGATTCTGGTTTGGGTTCATCTTGGTCACTGATAAAGGCTGCTTGTCTTTGCCAATACTCTAGACATTATAATTATCTCTGGGGATGATTGTTACTAATACTTACCATAGGGAATGTGCTAGCAATGATTAACTGACCATTTCGGTAGCCAGCTCCATTTCTGTATGCAATTATTTTCACTGCTTTCTGGTTCATAGCTGCAGAGATCTTTTCTGAGATTGTTTGTATGGAGGTTTCGGTCCGCAAAGATGCTAGAACTTCTTCTAAATAATTCAAGGTATTTTTGGCTTCCAATGTGGATAAATCAGTCTTTAAGATAGGAAAGAACCAGATCCAATCAGGCTGCTGCTTTTATTAAATCAATACTGAAGTGAACTTCTTTTAATGAAGCTCACCAATTTAATTTAAAATGTATTCAGTCAACACTACATTTATTGAAATATGGAATATACTAATATCTACTCTGCAGGTACCTTTGGTGATCACACTAAATCTTCAGGGATTTCTGGTAGCTATGATTTGTTAAAGATGACAAGAGATGGCTAAAACCAAATTTTGTAGGAAAGCTAATGAGACATTTATGTATTTCTTTTAAAGATCATTGAACATATCTGTACACACAACTGTTTAGGTAAAGATGAAACAGCTTTCAAAAGATATCTCCCCTTCTTCAATGCAGAGCTCCCATTAATTATTTACTCTTAATACTAATATCTATAGGAGTTCCACATGTGCAGGGCAAGAGACAAATATGCCCCCTAACAGATACATTTTAATGCTAACAGGAAAACGATTCTAAAATTTGGTATAGCACAAAATAATATTTACCACATTTATATCCCTAATAACAAATCTGCCACTCTTTTGACTTCCATTCAACAAGAAAGACAACAATAATTGTATACAGATTTTAAACTCAGCAATTAGTACATTCCCGGAATGAGAGACAGTGGTGGAGATGCTGCATACATGTCACATGCCACGTACTGCAGCAATAACCAACCTATGACACATGCATTAATTAGCAGTAACATGCAAGGGTCTTTTAGAGTATCTATGTTGCTGAGTGAGTAGGACCCCCCCCCCACTCCCCTTCAACACACTTTCTTCTGGAGAAGGTGGAATTATGGGCAGTCATGTCCTCTCAGCATAGGATCAATGGTATTGGTGAGAATTTTCACTCACTACCCAGAACTGGAATGAGTGGTGTGGGGAACATACCGACAGAGGCCTTTAGTATCCCATAGGAACACTTGAAGAGGAAGGAAGCAGGTCAGACTTTCAGAAGACTCCCAACCCCTCCCCCAGTGTAGCCATGGCCACTGTTCCTCTGCATTCAATCAATGGCCTGAAAAGTGCAGCCTCTGGAACATTGAGACCCTGATCTCAAAAAACTAGTGGTTGATTGTAAACGTCCTAGCCCTTTTCCAGGGCTGGAGTCCAAAGAGAGGGGATATGGCAGTCCCCTATTAATCCACGGGTACCATGATAATATCCACACTGGCCCCATCCCCACTGACACCTCCAAAACCTTCCTGGTCTGTTCATCAGTGAACAGTAAAACTGAAAGACTATATGAAGGTTTACAATTTGTTCAAGTGAAGATAGCAAAGTTCTGCAGTAGTCTAACAATGTACTATGAACATTTTCAGGTTATTTTATAATCCTGAGTCTACAGTACAGCTAATAGGACAAATTAAAAAAATACAAACCTTCATCACATTAACACACTTAAAAGGCCCCAAGGAGAAATTATTTGCTTCCTCAGAGCCAGAGGCACAGAAGAACATGCTACCTGTGGGTAATTTTTTTAGTTCTTTCTTTCCTCTTATGGCCCTTGCACAAGCCAAGCATATCATGAACTTCTGCTTTCCACTGGGTGAAAGAAAATAGTAGCCCTAAAAAGAAGGGGAAACAATGGTTTCAATGCTTTAGAGTCTCCAGATGTGCAACAGTACAGTTATCTAATTACTTCCTATAAGCATTCAGGATTTCCTCAACACAAGTCCACCTTTGCTAACCTTCCTGATGCTGCCAGTTAGGATACATGAATAGCTGTTGTTCATTTGAAATAAGACAAGGACACAAATGGCTTTGGATCTTCAGCCCTCACCTCTGGACATTGCAAAATGGAACTGATGTTGGAACAGAGCAACTGTGACATCAGAGGTGAGTAACTGACAATATACTTTTACTTATTACAAATCTATGTATTAAAGTGACATAAAATTTGACTGGGGATTTTATCATCATTTAACCATGACCTGTTTCACAGCCATGATGTCATACTTAGGAAACAGAAGCTTCTACAGACATGACTGCTCAATATATTACTTTACAAAGTACTTTTTTTGCTAGCAGGAAGAGAAGATTATGCACTGACACCTGAAGTGGAGCACCCACAGGGACAGCACCCGAAGAAAAAGTGAAATATTTCATCTGTCCATTTCAGATAAATATAAATATATAGGTATACACATAAACTTTCTACTCAGCCTGTTGTCTGCATTGATAGTGGATTAAACTTCCCTATGTCAACTTTACATACCTTAAAAATATATTACTTACTGGCTGGTTTATTTTTTCTCTACTGGTCACAGAGAATGTGCAAACAGAAGCATGATTTGCTGCTGTGATTTCTTGATCCAGTACTGTGCTGTAAAAGGCACTAAATACTCCTGCATTTTCCATGTAATGCCACTTTTGATTGGCAGCCCCATTGCTGTATTCTTTATATTTCTGTCAAAACATAAAAAGATAAATCCTATTCCTACACTATAGCATTCTGCTATTCAGTATTTGGCATGAATGCCTTGTGCTGTTTAAAAGTGTGTTTTTCAGATGAGACTTTAAATTCTCAAGTCCTGTCTATTCCGTGTGGACAGTAAACATCTCATGACACTTTAAGTAAAAGTAGGTATTTGCCTCAGTATCTTTGACAAATTTCCCCCCTGCACTCAGTGTTGTATGGTGGATTATCTAATCTTCTGCCATGGAGGTGGCTACATTTCAGAAGTGGGGTATGTACCGAAGCAGTTTTAAAGTGCTGTGCGATCCTTTGGGATAAAAGGGGTGCTAGAAAAATAAAATGCTGTTAATAAAATAGACGATATTAGGTAAATGAAAAAGTGAACTAATCAGCATAGGTGGTCTGCCATCAACATCTTGCCATCAGAGATGGGCAGTCTTTAAACCTGGGGTCTTCTTTCTGGGATCTGCCATCATGGCAGAAGACCCAAATAACCCAACGAGGTCATAAGAGAACAGAAGACAGGAAGGATGGATCAGTGGTTAGGGTGTTAGCCTAGAACTTAGGTGACCCAGGTTAAATTCCTTACTTCATAATGGACTTCCTATGTAACCTTGGGCAGGTCACAAAGGTTAGATTAATTAAATGGGAGTTAGGTGCCAAAATACTGTTGAGGAGCTAGGCTTCTGTGTCTCAGTTTCATACCTATAAAATGGGGATAATAGCATTTCCTGACCACACCAGGGTTTTGTGAAAACAAATGCATTAAAGATTGTGAGGCACCCTGAGCTACAGTAATGGGAACCATATAAATTAGGTAGCTAATGTTGATTCCTGGAAATGAAGTTCTGGGAAACTCTCTGAGGTACTGTTTCCTTTGGAGATACTCCTCAAATTAAAATAAACATTATATTATTTTATTTTATCTTAATTATTTACGACAAACTTATATATGACTAAGGAGAGAAACAGAAAAAATGTCAACAAGCTAAGAAAGTTGAGGGATTAGAAAAAGTTCCAATTTACAGCTGGAATGAACTCAGTGTCCATAGGAGACTCTGCTTTTTAATGTAACTTTGCCTAAAATATTCCTTAGCTTCAGTCAAAGTTCATGTGTCTCCCTCCTCAAATGGTCAGAGCTTTCCATAGGATCCTAGGTTTTGGGGTAATTCACAGGTGTATGCCAACAATGGGGATCTCTGCTGACAATACTTAAAGGAAAAGGAAATGTCCATTCATAGAATCAATTTATTTAATTTCTGTGGCTGTTCCCTATGTAATTATATATCACGTGTCATTCATTACAGGCCTATTGCTATTTTTCAAAATATGTCACATCGATATTTTTTCCCAATCTTTTCAGTCAATGCCAGAATCCCAAAAGCATATTTGATTAGACAATATTTTATATTATAGTTGGCGTGACAGTTTCTGCTGGTCTAACAGGCATTCTTTAATACTATCCAGGTAAAGACATTTAAATACTTAGAATCACTTTTGGCATATAAAATGATTTAATTCATAAAATATATATATATATATATATAAAACCCAGGGAAAACAAGCCATTTCAACAACAACTTCGTCGTGCATGGCAGCTTGCTGCATGAAATATGAATGAGAAGCCATATGGAATTCAACATTTTGCAAAACCCTCAGACTACTGTTTGGAGTTCACAAAAACCACGAGTTCATGAATCTTTTCTCCTGTAATTTAAAACTCTTGGGGTAAATTCAGAGGGGAGTATAAGTAAGTCCTGAAAGAGTCTAAACTGAAGTAGCTGGTATCGCCTTCAACATGTATGTTACAAGAAAACATTCTCTTACCATATCACGTCTACAGTTGGTCCAATGATTCTGAGTGTAAGTGAGGCTCAGCTGGTATAACTCACATATCAAGGAGCCAGAACAGAAGAGTTTACTGAAGCTAGCAGCTAACAGGAAGATGTAAGTTAAAGCAGGCTACCCTCTATTTTACATCTTCTCATCCCTTCTGGCAATTAGTGTGTAAGTTACAACAACAAAGTCCTTCACACATCCTTACACAGGTGTAATAGGTCTAAGAAAGTCTAACTCAGTGTAAGGGAATCAAAGTGTCAGGAAGTTTAGCTTATACCACCTTACACTTCACTTCAGGGTTTGGCTAATTGCTTTGTAGTGATTTAATTTTTTAAAAACACAACTTCCTAGCATTTTCTTTGCCTGTGTATTAGCGATAATAAACTCTGAAAAACACAAGTGGCTGCCTGATACATGGCAATATCAATTCCATAATTATTTGTGTATACCTTTATCTGCTCCCTTTTTCCCCCCATCTCCCTCTATATTTGTTTTTCACTCATCCATCTCTGTTCCATTTTCAAACTATTGTTTCCTTGGAAATAGTCCTCTGAACACAGGATGACAGAGAGCATTCAAAATTAGGCAAAACAAATTCAGCTATTCCCAATACGAAGACATTAAGGGTATCTATAAAAGATGTGGAATGATTAATAATGTCTCTGCTGAGCAAAAAGCTGAAACAATGGGCAAAATAAGCGAGTCTTCCCTTTTGATTTTAGCGAGTGCAAGAATGGCAGCATCTCTGAGAACAACTGGCATATACAAAGAACTTAATTGAGCTGACTAGGGAAGGGCTCACCAGAATCAATTTAACATTCCTCACTTTTATTATATTGCATAAACTTTAAAATATTTGTGACAAACCAAGGGCCTGATTCTGCAAACTGTAATGCATGTGACTAATCCCTTTGATGTATATTATTATGTGAGTAATTTCCACCAACTGGCCTTAATTGCTGCAAGAAATAAAAGATAAAGCTTTCATAAAAAGAGTGGAAGCACACACAAAATACTTGAAAAGCAAATTGATTTCGAATAAAAACTGGTTTGGGGGAAAATATACTGTACATATCCTATGAAACTGATTGCACTACTAAACGTCAGATTGTGATAGTTTTTATCTCATTGACTGATGTCATAAAGGCATTGACAGAGATCACTGCAATTGTTTGTATTCAGTATTAGAGAACGAAGCTGTAGCCCATATTTATCAGTTGCATTAAAGACTTAGTGAATGATTCTGACACACAGTTACTCACAATTCAACACGCTGACTTTAAATGTTCCTTATTTTGAAACTACTATGCATGAAACTTTACCTTGGCATTTCTGGACTCCAGAATGTAACTTTCATCTTGTTTTTATTGATAATTTATTGGATACAATTATTTTAAATCTTTGCAACAGCTGTAGCCCTTGGACTTCCTGTGTTATCTATAGTATACAAAGCACTATTCAAAGAAAATATGATTCAAAGCTGAATCGGTATTTGAATACAACTGGACCCTGGGCCTACATCTAGGTGTACAGCAAGAATTTTTGTCTCCTCTTTTAAATGCAATCTCTTACCTGCAGAACAACAGCACACCCTTTCATGTCCAGTGCACATTTTGAATATCTAGGCTGTGTGCTGGGCATTGACACTGCTAGCACTAGATTTGGATCACTCATCAAATGAAATGTCCTAAGAACAGAAAAATAACAGTGACACTATAATGTAAAAATGCAAATATTTTTATAGATTACCTAAATTCATTAGGCTTTCTCCTAAATTACTCTTACAGCTAGAGAACGTGAGTGATGCCACAGTAATGCACACTTTTATGAAGAAGCCTTGACAGAAGGATTATTAGCACATACCAAAATGCTGGCATAGCCCTTGGTGGGTTTGGTTCACAAGGATCTAGTTCATTTTGATTTTCAGATTTACCCCAAACCCTACATTCAAAGCACAGTTTGAGTAAACCAATTACAAACTTGGTGAGTTTCTCTCTTTCTTCACAAACTCTCTGGCGCTATCCCTTGCCTGACAGAACACCCTCTTCCTTCCTCCAACAGAATCTGCCTCACTCCTGCATTTTCGGAGAACCGCCCTTTCCTCCTCTCACCCTCAAAAAAAGGCTTCAGGACCAAAGACAGGAAGATATGTGCATGCATCTCTCCACCCTCCCTGAATACACGATGACTAGAGACACTTCTCCTTTGACCTGGTGACACGTCAATGGCATTTTACTCCCATCCTGACATCTTCAGTGGGCTCCCTACCCTCTCCTGAATGCTTAGGGGTTTCCCTGATAGCATGCAGTTCAGACTGAAATAGAGCCAACAAAGTATAGTAGCATCAACTGAACTAGGATTAAATGCTGTTCTCCACATTAACATGAGAAAAGCTTATCTAACGCAAACAAGTTCTTATAGTCTTAACTTTACAACCAGCTAATAGTACATAAATCACTGCCTACTCCAAGACACGAGAAAGCTCTGTATTCTTAATAGCATTCAGAGTCCTGCATTGCTATGTGAAGGGCAACTCTCCAGCCATACCCAATACCCCTTCCTAAAAACAACAGAACCTCCATGTGCAATGCTGCTAGTCCCTCAGATGCAAGACGAGCATGTCAGGCTGGCCACCCATCTGTTATGGATATAGAGGGGAAGAAGCTTGCCTTGCTAAAACCACAGAGACTCCAAATGGGACAGCAGGACAACTACCTGGCTCCTGGAGTTTTGGGAGTGGGGGCCTCCAAAGACAGGAGAAAGCGAGGTGAGAAGGAGAATAAAGAGCACTGGTTCTACTAGGAAGACACTTAAAAGTAAAGAGGGGGAGTCTGGTCCTGATGGTGGGAGAGTGATAATGTGGGACCAGAAGCTTTCTCTGGGTTCATACCAAAATAGGCATTCAGGCCAATTTCCCTTGGCTTTAGGATTTGATGCAAAACGGTTGCAAAAGCTGAGATATAATAGATTTTTGGGGATATCCACTAACCCTTTTAATACACAGACAAAATAGAAGGATTTTAAAGAACATAAGAATGGCCATACTGGGTCAGACCAAAGGTCCATCCAGCCCAGTATACTGTCTGCCAAGAGTGGCCAATGTCAGGTGCCCCAGAGGGAGTGAACTTAATAGGTAATGATCAAGTGATCTCTCTCCTGCCATCCATCTCCACCCTCTGACAGAGGCTAGGGACACCATTCCTTACCCATCCTGGCTAATAACCATGAATGGACTTAACCTCCATGAATTTATCTAGTTCTCTTTTAAACTCTGTTATAGTCCTAGCATTCACAACCTCCTCAGGCAAGGAGTTCCACAGGTTGACTGTGCGCTGTGTGAAGAAGAACTTCCTTTTATTTGTTTTAAATCTGCTCCCCATTAATTTCATTTGGTGGCCACTAGTTTTTATATTATGGGAACAAGTAAATAACTTTTCCTTATTCACTTTCCCCACACCACTCATGATTTTATATACCTCTATCAAATCTCCCCTAGTCTCCTCTTTTCCAAGCTGAAAAGTCCTAGCCTCTTTAATCTCTCCTCATATGGGACCCTTTCTAAACCCCTAATCATTTTAGTTGCCCTTCTCTAAACCTTTTCTAATGCCAGTATATATCTTTTTTGAGATGAGGAGACCACATCTGTATGCAGTATTCAAGATGTGTGCGTACCATGGTTTTATATAAGGGCAATAAGATATTCTCCGTCTTATTCTCTATCCCTTTTTTAATGATTCCTAACATCCTGTTTGCTTTTTTGACTGCTGCTGCACACTGTGTGGACATCTTGAATAGAGCGGGCTAAGATGGGGGGAGGGATAGCTCAGTGGTTTGAGCACTGGCCTACTAAACCCGGGTTGTGAGTTCAATCCTTGAGGGGGCCACTTAGGGATCTGGGGCAAAATCAGTATTGGTCCTGCTAGTGAAGGCAGGGGGCTGGACTTGATGACCCTTCAGGGTCCCTTCCAGTTCTAGGAGATAATAATATAATATGGAGATATACCTATTATCTTCAGAGAACTATCCATGATGACTCCAAGATCTCTCTCCTGATTAGTTGTAGCTAAATTAGCTCCCATTGTATAGTTGAGGTTATTTTTTCCAATGTGCATTACTTTACATTTATCCACATTAAATTTAGTTGCCATTTTGTTGCCCAATCACTTAGTTTTGTGAGATCTTTTTTAAGTTCTTCACAGTCTGCTTTGGTCTTAACTATCTTGAGCAGTTTAGTATCATCTGCAAACTTTGCCACCTCACTGTTTACTCCTTTCTCCAGATCATTTATGAATAAGTTGAATAGGATTGGTCCTAGGACTGACCCTGGGGAACACAACTAGTTACCCCTCTCCATTCTGAACATTTACCATTTATTCTTTCCCTTTGCTCCCTGTCTTTTAAACAGTTCTCAATCCATGAAAGGATCTTCCCTCTTATCCCATGAAAACTTAATTTACGTAAGAGCCTTTGGTGAGGGACCTTGTCAAAGGCTTTCTGGAAATCTAAATACACTATGTCCACTGGATCCCCCTTGTCCACATGTTTGTTGACCCCTTCAAAGAACTCTAATAGATTAGTAAGACATGATTTCCCTTTATAGAAATCATGTTGACTTTTGCCCAACAATTTATGTTCTTCTATGTGTCTGACAATTTTATTCTTTACTATTGTTTCAACTAATTTGCCCGGTACTGACATTAGACTTACCGGTCTGTAATTGCCAGGATCAATTCTAGAGCCCTTTTTAAATATTGGCGTTACATTAGCTATCTTCCAGTCATTGGGTACATAAGCTAATTTAAAGGACGGTTACAAACCATAGTTAATAGTTCCGCAATTTCACATTTGAGTTCTTTCAGAACTCTTGGGTGAATGCCATCTGGTCCCGGTGACTTGTTACTGTTAAGTTTATCAATTAATTCCAAAACCTCCTCTAATGACACTTCAAACTGTGACAATTCCTCAGATTTGTCACCTACAAAGGACGGCTCAGGTTTGGGAATCTCCCTAACATCCTCAGCTGTGAAGACTGAAGCAAAGAATTCATTTAGTTTCTCCACAATTACTTTATCATCTTTAAGTGCTCCTTTTTTATCTCGATCGTCCGGGACCCAACTGGTTGTTTAGCGGGCTTCCTGCTTCTGATGTACTTAAAAAACATTTTGTTATTACCTTTTGAGTTTTTGGCTAGCTGTTCTTCAAACTCCTATTTGGCTTTTCTTATTACATTTTTACACTTAATTTGGCAGTGTTTATGCTCCTTTCTATTTACCTCACTAAGATAAGAAGACAATTCTGTGTTCTTGGGATCCAAGCATAATCTGTTGTACTGTATGCTTTGTCCAATATGGAGCCTTGAATTAGGAGCTTAAAAGGGGATGGAGCAGATGGAGACAGACACTTTTCTCTCTATTCAAGACTGCTGCTTTTATTTTATACTGCTAGTGATGGAACAGTGCAGTTTTTCTCTCTTCACGAGCCCACAATTTGTTTAATGTATCCTTTGTCATTCTGCTGCAGTGGATTTCACTTCTCAGGGGAAAGAAGTGAAGAAGAAAAGATGAGTAGTGCACTGTACAGCAGTGTATAAAGCTAGTGGCATTTTAAGCATGCTCAGTATGTCATTGCATTCAAAGGCGAATGACATATGCGTGCTGAAGTTTTCCTTTTCTGTTTTTGAAGGACACAGTGCTTCTGGATTCCTCAAATTAGCACTGGTCTGGAGCTCTAGTAGCAGTGCAATACATTGCCTCCTAGAATCCATATTTTAATCCTTTTGACTTAGACTGAGTGGACTGTGGGGAAGAGAGCACTTCACACTGCTGTTCTCACTGTGGTTGAGTTAAGGAGCCCTCATGGGGGTGGTGAGGGTTTCCCTTGATTGGAGGGATTGTTGCTTTGATATAAGTCTTTTAAATCTATCTATCTTCAGCTTTCTACACTAGAGATTCATTTATGAGATTCTTTGCTGTAAATTAATGGTTAGTAAGACAAGAAAATGATCAAAAAAGAACTATTGAAACCCTATTAAAAATCCTAAACCTAATTCTTTCCCACCCAATACATTAAAAATAATTTCAATGACTAGATAACAGTCCGCAGAGCTGGAATTGTGTTTTAATGTATGATACAGAAAGCTTCCCTTTATAACATTTAGTCTCATAGATCAGCGAACATGCTTGTACCTGTCATGATCTCTCCATATCCAGCGCTGATTGGTATCATCAGGTTTCTTTTCCACCAAAACAACTTCAGTCCCAGCATGCAGATTAGCATCCTGTACCCCCAAAACAAGCCCTGGGAATGCACAGTTTATAATCTGTTTGTCTCTATACTCAAACTGCTGATGGTGAGCCTTCTGCAATTCTGCATTCAGCTTTGGTTGAGGTCTGAATAAACAAAATTGTATTTAGGGTTAGAAAAATGCCCTGTTAACTAACATCAGTTACACACAACACTTATGACAAGTAGATTTTGCAGAATCTTTGTTAACTTGTCTGACTGTGTTCTTAACTATAGAACAAATGACCAGGAGTACATCAAGGGACTGGGTGTGTGAGGGCAGGGAGAGGAACAGAGAGGATGGACAGAGGAAAAAGTAGAATGAGAGGGCAAACATAGGGAAAGCTATTTCCAAGACAAAAGTGAAAAGCATACTGGCACTCATTGCCATTAGTTCTACTATACTGGCTTTCTGAAAAAGCACAAAGAGGCAAACATCACCTTAATTTGGTTGTGTTTGCCTCTATCTGCTTCTGTAAAAACTGGAATAAATGTGCTATGGACAATAAGGGCTAATTTAAATGTAGTCCAGCATGCCTCTACATCCTTGACTTTTAAATAGTCATTCTAGTAAATCTAATTACATGCAGGTAACATGCAGATAAATAACACGCAATTCTGAACTTCATGAAAATAAATGAATACATCCTAAAGTTATGGTGGCAACAAATTCCAGAACAGTAGTGCTCGAGTGAGCTCAAGTGAATGATATCACTTAATCTCAGTGTATTTTTCTGAATGACATTTCGACTGCTTTTCATTTTAATGTAATTTAGGGATTTCCTTTCCTACCCATATTTTCATTTCTTCAGTTTTCCCTTTCTATTATCTATCCCTGTCCATATTCCATTCTCCTTACATTTTTTTCCTCTTATTTCTTGTCTGTGGTGTGCTACCTCTCCTTTGGCTGGGAGATACTTCCAAATGGCTGTTAAATGCCCTGAATATCAAAGGTCTGACTTTTAAAACCCTGTCGTGTACCTGCAATTTGGTGTGGCATATAACTTTGGGCACAATTCACTGGGGAAACAAATAAAAACATATAGACTGCACTTGTCAACTAGGGACCTGATATAATGCCCACTGAAGTCAATGTAAAGATTCACAATTAGACCACTGGACATTGGATGAGGTCCTCTGTGTCTACATATCTTCATTTGTGCCCCCAAATAGCTGTTCACAAAACTAAAAGAAGACCAGGTTGAGGCACCTTTAAAAATTAGGTGGAAAGGATTATTTTTCAGTTAATGTCATAGGAAATTAGATATTAATGGGAGATTTGGATCTAACTGCTTATATATCATTCTAAAAGTTTCTTCATAGAGGACTAAATTCTCTTATAGTGGTAAAGTCCTATTACTATTAAAAGGAGTTCTTCCTGAGTAAGGAAATCAGGATATGGGTGAATAAATACAAGGAAGCAGAGCTTGGTATGGTGTGTGGGTCTCTGACTTTTTTTGTCAGGTTCAGTATTACATTGTCGAAATGTGTATCAATTATATTGTAAAAGTATAATTATTTCTGACCTGTACTTCTGAAATAACTCTGCATTTTCACAGAATTCTTTATCCTCATCCTTCAGAAAACTGTCATCATCATGAAAATCACAGAAACTTTCCTGCCAGGAATATTTGGATTTCATATGCCAAGCATCTGTTTTAAGATGTGATTTTGCATGTGAATTACTGAAAAACATAAACCACAAAATGGGAATTTCAAAAACTAACAGAGATTGGAGTTTTGCATTAAAAAAACAAGTGTTTTTCTTTAAAAACATTACTTTGTTTTGAGGAGATACTTTACAAGGTAACTAGAAGTAAAACAATTAGATCTTGCATTCTTGCATCAATGAGAGTTTTTTTCTGAGTAAAAATTGAAGGATTTGGACCATAATTTGTATAATAAGGTCCACAGGTATGGAAAATCTATTATGAACATACAGGGTGAAATCCTAGATCCCCTGAATCTATGGTAAAACTTCCATTGACTTCCCTAGACCTTACCTAGGGACTTTCCATAAAGTAACCAAGATTTTTGTTCTCATCACATAAGAAATTTCTTAATCACACAGAGCGTTATGTGTATTGCTGACACTAAAATGAACAGAAAGTCATGCTTTTGTACAGACTTGTATGAACTTCTCCTAGACTGATGGACTACTCCAGCTCCCACTGAAGTTAAGAGAAAGAATCCCATTGACTTCACTGAGAGCTGGCTCAGGTTCTAGCAGAGTGGCCCCTTCAGGTATTCTTTCACATTTACTTTGAGCAGTGTTGTTTCACAAATTTGTACAATACTATTATCCTATGAGACAGCAATACTTGCCAGTGTCTGATTTATAATTTTATATTATACACATTTATAATTGATTCTTTGCTGACATGTAGCATTTGAAGCCTCTTCGCCAACCTTTAACAAAACAGTGCCATCTATCGCCATAATTAGTAAATGCAACCTCTTTCTAGAGTGTCACTATTAACTGCATACACTTCAAGCTTTTCACATACCTTCGCTGTTTTAACAACTCATTTCTTACACTGTCTGAAAAAGAAACAGTTTTTCTGGTTTTTGCTAATGTAACTACATTAATTTCAGTGGAATTTCACCAGTTTAAACTGGAATACTGGAATGTTGAATCAGACCCGATGTTTTTACTTTGAAATAATTTTGTTAAGGATCTAGTGGGATTATGCATCAGAATAAGAGCTTTTTAAAATTTGTTTCAGAGATTAAGATGGACTCTGTGTCTACCTGAGCACTGGGTAACGTAAATACAGACAATACAATGAAGCAGAAAGCACCTAATGGAACAGTAAATTAACTTTTTTAAAATTCACAAATTTGGAGAAATTTTGGAGAGGTGAGCGTGCTGTATTACTGGGGGCTTGGTTTTTACCTGCATTTCTACAGCTCGGAACATTGTTAGAGTTTTATCTTACACCTTTATATAACATACTTTTTCCTTTACTCAACATTCATTGGGAGATCTTATTTGCGATAGTTGTGGAAGAACCCAAGATCCTATTCCTTAATTAATATTTTTTTCAAATTCATTTGGATACTTTGAATTACTCAGACTAAGCTCACTTGACCTCCCTCCTTCTTCAAATAAGCTGCACAAAGTATAGGAGGTTTAATGTGTGGACTTTCTTAAATGATATAAATATCAATAATATTAAAATCAAAATTGCTGTGGAAATCATTTTGTTTTAGTCTAACATTAGCTTTCCCAGCTTCCTCTTCTCTTACTATAGCTAACCTCATCAGTTTTATGAGCCACAGATCTCAGAAACTGATCCAGTGATTATTAAAGTCAATAGAAAGGCTCCCATTGACTTCACTGAATGTGGGATCCAGCCAATAGGCTTGATCTTGCAAGGTGCTGACTGCCCTTGTATACTGAAGGTTTATTTTTTGCCAATTAAAATTATTCCTGTTTTTGTTAAATTTTTATACTTAAAAATTGATTATTTTTAATTTTGACAGAAAATATGCAACATTCCAAAGCTTCACAGCCACACTATTGGATCTGCAAAATGTCATGAAAACAAGAAGTTTGGGCAAAAAGCATTTGTGAAAAATGCGACAAAAAGTCTTCAGTTTCACACTCCCCTAATTATTGCTACTGTAAATGCCTTTGAATCTTACACTGTAAAAGGATTAGACAAAATAGATGTAATGAAGTGGAGATTTTGCGAAATCTTTGTACAGTAGGCAGCGACATTCATCTCAAAGGGAGTAACATTAATTATGCTGGGAAAGGTACACGTTACAAAGATTTGAGTGAACTGCAGAATGAGAGCACGTTATTTTTTAAAATGCACTTTAAATGGACATCTGAATTATAGGCAATCTTTGCACTACTGTATGCTTTACTTTCTTGTAATTCTATGTAGAAGCCAGATTAAGAAAATCTCTAAACTGGCTTGTACAAACCCAATTTTTAAAGGCTGTGGAGTATAACAGTTTTACTACTAAAATACAATGCATGAAAATCTACTCTTTTTATCTTAAGGAACAACCAAAAGGACCAAACCCTTCTCTCCCATCTATATTCTGCTCTGAGTATTAAAACACATCTACAAATCCAACTTGTGTTACCTTTTAATAATCCTGTAGTAATAATAATAAACCATGCTTTCTGAAATTATGAACCACATAATTTTTAGTTTTGCAATATCACATGTATATCTGAGTTGAAACCCAGATGTATAATTCAAATTTGTAAAGTTAATAGGTTATAGGTGGAATGTTTTCACTTAAATCTCTTTAATATATTGAAATAAAGAGCATCATAGCTTTTTACTTATAGCCATCAAATAAGCATTGCATTATAAATACTCATCAGTAAACTCATTCCCTCTCTAACAACTAATCCAATAAATTAATTCTTATTTCTTACTAGGCTTTGCCAAATAAGTTTGAAAAAAAACCCAAACTGTTTGGAAACTCAACCCAAACCCAACCTAATCTTTTTGAAGGTTCAGAAAATTGTGCTAATATTTTTCAGTGTTCATGTTTGTTTGTGCACTTCTGCATTGCTTGATTTTGGCCAAAACAGGAAGCAAGAACAGCAAAATAGTATGCAAAAGGACATCCTAGCAGTATTATGCCCATCAACAGCTAAGAAATCCCTTAAAATCTTGCAAGAACTTGTTCTGATGAGACTTTAAAACTGAATTCCAGACCAAAATGGTTTAGATACATTCTATCAACTATGCAAACAACTAAGACCTTAAATTTTTTTTATGTTCATACATCATACAATGTGTTCGTTAAACTGGGGGGGGGACAATTTTTCAAACTTGTGTGCCAAAAGTTAGGTATCTAAATCAATATTTAGGTACCCAAACAACTGGTCTGCTATTCAAAGTGCTCATGCACTTAATTCCCATTGAAGCCAATATTCAACACCTCTGAAAATTAGGCCACTTATCTGAGCGCCTAAACATGGATTTTAGGGCCCAGCTTTCAGCTCAGATGTGGTCCAGCACAAAGAGGACGTAATGCTGCCCTGAAGGGACAGTTTGGGGTTCTTCTTCTATCAGAGAAATTCCCAGTGGTGCGAAACCAGGCCTTAGGATGCCCAAACTTGTACTAGGAGCTGGTTGGAGCAGATACAACTTTGCCTTACTCCACTCAGCTGCCCCAAGTGTGAGCTCAGTGCAGTTGAGGATGGAGTCCCTAGAACATGAAGTCAGGCACCCATGTTTGAAATACTGCCTTTGAATCCATACATATGGACACCTCACTGGACAGTATATTGTCCAAATTAAATAGATTTCAGCATTTCTGAAGCTAAAATCTGGGCTACATTGCAAATTTTCTTCCATCCTCTCATCAGCACTGTTCAGTGTATTTATCCTTCTATGTTCCTGTTATTTATCTTCCATTGCACATCTTAGCATATATAGTTACCACCACATTATTTTGTTCTTTATCTTGCTCTCCTGCTGCCCTCCCCACTCCTGGCATCAACTCATAGCTTATTTCATTCTTCCCAATTTCTGTCTGTAGCTTCTAGTATATCTGTCTAACAAAGGCACTAGCAATTTCACATGCTGAGAAGGCACACAACAGATACAAACAATGCCAATATTGTTGCCAGTTTGCACCTGTTCAGTATTTTTTTTTTTTGATCAGCAAGTAATTTGAAAATATGTAAACTGCTGCAACCTCGATGTTCAACTAAAGTTCTTTCTTCTAGTATGTCCATCACTTACAAATATGAATAACACACATTCATTATAATGGTAGTGATTTTATAAGCACTTGCAATGGTATATTTTATGTATCTATTTCTGCTTATACCTATGTTTATGTAACACAGCTGTTATGAAGATATTTTGGATTACTTACAGATCTGAATCATCTTTTATATTCAGAAACATTTCTTCTGTTTGATTTTCCTGCAGCTCCTCAGTTAGTTTGTCTTCTTCAAATGCCACAAGACATCTATCCACAAAAAGTTTGGCTCCAGCAGCAATATTGCTCCTTACTCCTAAAACTAGAACTAAATGCAAGTTTACATAATATTTGCTGCTAAATATTGTATATTTACACCATTATAATCAGCAGTGCAAGTAGGGCGGTCTGGTCCGGTATGCTGTACCAGCAAGATATTTATAGCTGGTACGGCGTACCGGAAAGACACAGGAGGAGCAGAACGTGCCTGGAGCTCCTCTGGCACAGCTGTACTGCCCTGTCCTCCAGCGGGCCTGCTGTACAGATGGAGGAGACCCTGCATGGAAGGGTGGGGGCGGTAGAGCCGCGCAGGGAGAGCTGCGGGCATGGGGCTGCCCAGTAGCCCCATGTTCTGCTCCTTTCGCCGCTGCAATTCCAAAGTCTCTGGCGCAGCGGGAGGAGGACAGAGCCCCCCCCATCCCAGATAAGGGGGTGGATCATGGGGAGGGAACAGGGAGAGTGTGGGGGCCCCAGGCTGGGGGCAGGGCAGGGAGGATTCACATGGAGGGTCAAGTGAGAAGGTCATGTGCCTCCTGTTAGCTGCTGTCCCGTCCTCCCCCCATGTACCAGGAAGAAATGGATTCCACTTGCACCACTAATTATAATATAAGTCTAATCACAAAAAGTAGCCAGCATGTTAGCATAACTGAAAGGAATGGAGATTATGTTGTGTAGGGTTTTTTGTTTCGTTTGTATTAACACTTGAGGAAAAATACTTAAATGCTCATGAAATTCAACCATGGTTTAAGAATGCTGATCTCTCTCACCAGTTTGACATACATTTCCTCTAACATTTTCTTTTTCATATCTTTTGGCCAAATTCTGAAGCCCAGATTCTGATCCTACACTAGCATCAATCACTGATATCAATGCAATACTCCCAATTTACACCAGTATAAATGAACCCTGAATCTGGCTGTGAATGGTGATGGGCACCACCTTGTGCAAAGTCCCAGTTTGAGTTGCCTAGGTCTGTCATAGGCCCAAGTAGCAGTGGGTTAAATCAAATCAACAAAAAAAGGCAAAAGAACATAAACATAACATAAACAAGTTAAAAAACCCCTTAGTTCTCAGGGATTTCATCTCCACCTATTCTTCTGGGGTCTCCAAGGATTTACAGTAACTCCTCACTTAAAGTCGTCCCGGTTAATGTTGTTTCATTGTTACCTTGCTGATCAATTAAGGAACATGCTCATTTAAAGTTGTGCAATGCTCCCTTCTAAGGTCATTTGGCAGCCATCTGCTTTGTCAACTGCTTGCAGGAAGAACAGCCCGTTGCAGCTAGCTGGTGGGGGCTTGGAACCAGGGTGGACCAGCAGCCCCCCTATCAGCTCCCCGCTCCCCTAAGTTCCTTGTGCAGCAGCTGCCTGCAGTTCAGCTGTCCCTCCCTCCACTGCCATGTGCTGCTCCTGCCCTCTTCCTTGGAGCTGCTCCCCGAGACTCCTGCTTGCTGTGCAGGGGGGAGGGAAGGAAGAGGGGGGCTAATGTCAGGGTGTCCCCCTCCACCCTGCTCCTGCACCCCGCTTACCCCATCTTCCATAGAGCAGGGGACACACCAGGGCTCAGGACGGAGGGAGCTTGCAGCAGCTGCGGTCTCAGGAAGCTGATCTAATTAACAAGGCAATGTACTTAAAAGGGAAATGCGTATCTCTCTCTCTCACACATACCCTGTGTGTCTCTGTCTGCGATGTCTCCTCTCCCTCTATTCCTGCTACCTCATAGAGTGAGAGAGTTAACCCTTGAGGGCTCAGCCAATTGCTAGTTCATCATTTAGCAGTAAGGGAAATATCCCACCTTCTGACTCCTCCACCTCAACCAAGCTTCACAATCATCAACACTGTGTACCAGTATTAAATTGTTTGTTTAAAACTTATACTCTGTGTGTGTGTGTGTGTATATATATATATATATACACACCCATTTACATTAATTCTTATGGGGAAACTGGATTTGCTTAACATCGTTTCGCTTAAAGTCACATTTTTCAGGAACATAACTACAACATTAAGTGAGGAGTTACTGTATAAGTCTCACAGAGGCAGCCTGATGTGAGCTCCTCTGGCAGATTTTTATTGTTCCCTTAAACCTCTTCTACCCCTTGCTTCTGCTTCTTCCCTTTTTATACTTGGGCTTGCCCTCATTAGCTACAGCAGCTGGGGGTGTCTCTTTCCATTTCTCACAGTTGAGCCAGAGTGTGGCTAGTTTTGGTGTGGGCAGACTGGGAGGATTCTTAACCCCTTCCTGCCTGTATTTTGTGTGCAGATTTGTAGACCCCATCCCATTGTCTCTTAATTTGTCTCTCTCTGCTATACTTTTTCATTATAACTTTGTAACTGCATCCTTAACTCTGTAAAGCATTGTCTATCTATTGGTTTCTTTACTGATAATGAGAGTTCCACATGCATCAAGGGCGTAGCACTTCTGTAGCACCTTCCACCCAAGGATCTCAAATAATTTAGAAACATTAATCAGTTAAGTCTCACACTATACCTGTGAGGGAAATAAGTATTTATTTCACAGATAGGGAACCAAGCCACAGGCAGATTAAGTGACTTGTCCAAATTCACACTGCAAGACAGTGGCACAACTGAGAGTAGAATTCTGATCTTTTAGCTTTCAGTTCTTTTGCTTTAAGCACTCAATACACCACTCTGTTTACTACTTCAATGGTTCATAGGTATTAAGATTACTTTTTAGTAACTATTTCTCCTCTATATTGTAAAACAGAGACTTACCCTCATTCATACACTGAAACATTTTTTCCCACAGATGAGAGTTATTTTTATAAAAGGAAAAAAGGCATATTCATTATGGCAGAGTACAAGGATCCTCATTTTCCTGCAGTCCCATGGTAGCAATATAACTATGCCACATAGAACATCTATACATCATACATATTGCACGAGTTATTAGTTCCCCATTCAGCCTAACAACTTATTTTTATCAATATTTAAAAATAAATAAAGATTTGGAACATACTATGTATTTGCTTAATGTCTAAACATTTTTGGCTCTGAAATGTCAGCATCCTGACTTGGGCAGCTGGGACTGGGTCAGAGGAGGATCAAACCTGAGGCTAACAGTAGAAGAGGAATCTGTAGTCAAGTTCCAGGCAGGGGTATATACCAAGGATCAGAGTTCAAGTCACATTTCAGGGTCTGGTTAGGAGGCAAGGTCAAAGCCAGGCATTCAAGAACAGGGACCAGGACCAGTCATGGCAGCTATAGGAAATACACACTGTTGCCTGGACACTGCCTGAATGCCCCTTAGGTTTATATAGGGCAGGGAGTCTACCAGGAGCCATGAGGCTGCTGCCTGTTTGACCTCTTGAAGTGGGACTTCCCATGGTCTGTGTCCTCAGATGGTCATGAGTAGTGGAGCACAAACTACTTACAGTTGCTGCTGGGTGGTAGTATGGTGTGGTCTACTGCCTACCAGCTCTGTAGGTTTGAGACCCTGTTGGCCTTATGTAAACATAATAGCAAACTACTAAAGTGGATATTGCTCTTTATTTAACATAGGGCTCTGTGTTTCAGAGCCGATGCAGGGGTTGATCTTGAGAAATGGGTAATATTTTTATCTGAAAAAATGAACTAAATCTTTAAAAGTCAGAACTTTGGGCTGGTTTATGAATTAGCAGAGAAGGATCAGTCACCTCTGCAGTATGGTGGATCTATGTTTGGGGAAGAGGTTGGTCAGAGTCAGGGGGACATGCATCAGTTCCACACCACCCTGAAAGGGAATACTTGAGAAAGTTAATACACACAGAAGGCTTAACTTATAGACTGGTGTTTTAGATATATGTTAAAATTACTTTTTTCAAAGACATGTTATTTGCTAATAACTTCTGTACACTTTTTGCTAAGATGTTATTACACTGTATGTAAAGTATGCTTAGCTTTCTGTTTAATAAGGTATGACAATTCTTGATTATTAATTAGATACCAGTTGGTTCCTGATCTATAGTTATTAACTATAACTATAGTTATTGTTTAGATAGAACCTATTCCTGCAAACTCTTAATCACATGAGGCATCATTGGTACTGCTCATACTGTTTGCATGGGTAAGGCTTTGGAGAATATGACCTTTATGCACTATGTAGTACATATATTTCTATTACGTGATGTTAATCCTATATGGATGTCTTATTATAATAATTAATAATTATTTTTTTATTTATTAATTCATATTTGGCTTTCTTTACATTAATATTAAATATTTATTGCCAAGAGCAGACACCAATGAAGATGGTTTCCCTTTAGTGTTTAAAGTGGCCAAGGATGCTGTAGTTTTATCATTGAACTTAAAGACCCTGTCACGAACAGGGCAACCAGTCCTGGTCTGAACACGCCTGTAATCCTATGTATGGTACTCCAGGGGATACCTCCAAATTTTGTGCAGATATTGGATTTCCTTTGGATCCAACCCCTAGTGGCATGGCATGGTGAGTATATTGTCTAAACTCCCCAAATCCCTCCTGTAATTTAACCCCACCAAAGCTGATCTAATTCCTGCAGCAATACACAACTTCCAAAGCTTTGCTAGTATCCAAATTCGGAAACAAGTACACATTTCAGACAATCACAACTATGCAAGCAGATCATGCCTACAGGGGAAGTTAATAGCCACACAAACTGGATATCCTACATAAACACTGGCAATCAAATGAGACGGAAAGTACAAATACATGTGCCACGTATGGAGACTACTGCAGAAAACACTGGTTTACATGACTAGGTACTTAGAAAAGAAAGATTAAACCTCTGATGGGCAAGTGGGTGGGAGAACCTCAATATTTTCAAGTGGAGTGGGAGAAAGGCTACTTCTATTGGTAGTGAGCCAATCAATAGTTCCAGTATTGGAGAGGGCAGAAAGGATTAGCCAATATGCAAAATTGTAGGGTGGCTTTCTTACACTAATTTTCGATGGGCTTGTGAATTACTTTGATTTTTCTTTCATGATGGACTTTATTGTCCATAAACTCCTATGAATAAAAGTAAAATTATCTGTATCTTTCTCTATAGATGGTTATTCTGAGCATATACCTCAGTATATAGAATTGAGGACTGGGAATACAGGACTACTGGGTTCTAATCTCGGCTGTGCCACTGACTTGCTGTGTGACCTTACACAAACCATATAACCTCATTCTACCTCAATTTACACATTTCTAAAATGGGCATACTACTACTCTCTTATTTAATGTTTGTTGATTGCTCTGAGATCCTTATATATACAAGTGCAAATTATTTCTCTCATCTACACCTGCAATACTGATTTTAACACTCAGACATTTTTACACAAAAGCAGCTATTTCCCCCAAAATATTATGAGGACACATTGAGACAATAATTCCCAAGTGCAGTAATGAGCTAAAATAACAAAATGCTTACTTTCAGGGTTACGCATGATACAGTAGGCATGAATTGCAGATATATCTGACGCTAAATTATTGAGTAGGAGACGTTTTTTGTGCTGAGCCATAGTCAAGTGTGGATCAATCCACGGTTCTCCACATGACACATAGACCTGTAACAAAGACAACTTATTTATTAGCTTCACATTCACATGAGGCGATATCAAATACTATGTTCAATACATAATATAATTATGACTGTGAAAACATACTAATAATAGCTCACTTATCACCTGGTTCCCATAGTAAAAATGAAATAATATTAATAATACATATATTTTTAAAATATCAGTGAAATTTAACAATCAAGGTAATTGAAAAGTAGTTCTTTTACATTAAATGTTGAATTAAAAAGGAGAGGACAATTTGTCTTAAAAACAAGATGTCAAAAATTATGCTTTCAAGTTTAAAAGACATTTTAAATTTGTCAGTACATCTGAATTTATAGAGTATATTCAAGTCAAGGACATATGGCACTGTGGACATACAAGAAACTACTAGTGCTTAGTTATTCTACCTTAGACACCTAATTGACTCTCTCTCTCTCTCTCTCTCTCACACACACACACACACCCACACCAAGAAAACACAATTTCAAAGCAGTTTTCAGAAATCCCTGGCACTATTTCAGAATCTCCATTCATTGCTTAGGTCTGTTAGGTGTTTTAAAGGAAACTGCCATTTTCATGGTACTTCATTGACTGGGGCTGCATTTTATTAAGCAAACTAAGGTCCCAATTTTTCATCAGGATCTGTTAATATTGACCTTGCAGCTACAGGAGTCTGCACTGGTGCAGGGGTTCAGATCCCCTTGCAGGTTTAACATCTACAATGAAATTCTGGCCCTACTGAAGTCAAAGGGAGTTATACCTAGGATTTCCCTAGTCTAGAAATACTTTAAAACATAGTCTAAAATATGGAGGAGATTCTGATAATTACATCCAATGAAGTTATCAGAATTATATAATGAAAAATCAGTAACATTATTTTAAACACAATTAAAAAAAAACATGAATTCAATAGGAAGCCAGCATCAAATAGTCAAATAGGGTAGAAAGCTACCATCTTGACAATGTAACAATGCATCTAAAGATGCCATCCTTCAAGGTGCTGTTCTACTTTGGTTTTCCCATTAGAAAGTGCTTAGACAATGGAAACACTCCAAGGTAAAAGCCAGGTAACAAAACCCTCAGTCCTCAGGTAAAAGCCCGGTAACACTCTTAAGTAAAAGCCAGTTCTTTTGGCTTGCAGGTCCAGAGACAATATGAACAGACATTGGTCATAATGGCAATTATCTCATACGGTATGAGATAAAGGTATGTTTTTGGGAAATGGGGTTTCTGTAGTTTCTGTATTTTTGACTGCATGGATTACTTTAATTTGTTTAGAAACTGAGATCATTGTGTAATTGTTGTTTATTAATCCACAAGCGGTGATGATGCCTTAATGAGTGGGGAAGGGGAGAAAGAAGTGAGTAGAGTCAGCCACTGAATCAAATGCTGCTACACTGGGCCCACTGTATGCCATAGCACACACAAACAAAGAGTTAATGTAAGCTAGTGTCCCCACTGTACAGGAACACAGCATTCTGAATTAATATTATTACTTGAGTTGCCATCTTATAAAATCTTTCTTACCAGCTGATCTCTCTCAAGGTCTTTCAAAAGAAAGAGTTCCACGCCTTTTTCAGTGAATAATCTTCGAGCAGCAGTAGGTAAATTCAACATTGTAGTACATCTTTAATAATGGAAAACAGACATACCCTTTTACATATGCTGGATATGGGGACATTATAGTACAGATACTGTAATCATTCAAGTTCTGTATACATCCTTTTAAATTTTTTCAATTATAAAGAATATTTGCAAATGTAAAAACATGTTATAAGCATATTGTTAAGCACTGACAATAAACTTAGCACTTTTAGAACGTAGGTACTTTTAGCTGACTTAGCCATAGGATAATGAGGGAAGTACTCAACCTGATGACACTTGCTACCAAATTCCTGCTAATTTTAATAGGTGTATCATATTAAATCATTGAACTATGAGATAAGAATATACTCCAATGAGTCTTGCTTTAATTTTTCCCATTAAAATCGCAACATAAAATGTATTTTCTATGTTTTCAACTAACATCTCTCCTTTATACTGGTATGATTCAAAATCCATTCAAGTCAATGGGAATACTACTGTTGGCTTGAATGGCCTTTGGATCTTGTCCTCTGGCCCTGATTTAGGACAGCACTTAAGCACATACTGAAATGCAGTCCTGAACAGGGATGGACTTAAGCGCTTTCCTAAACTGGGGCTTATGTGCTTACTACTAATGTTTTTTAAAATGACATGTTGTCACCTGTAATGAAAACCACTGTATCCATTACCTTTTATAGGGTTATTTAGAAATAAAAGTATATGAATGAAAACACATAAAGCAATTGTATTAGATGATTTTAAAGTGAACTACAATAGTGACACTACTCTTTTCCTGAGTAGGTTGTGGGACATAAACTATAGATATAAACAATGAGGTTTGGGACATGTTCAGTCTTCTGAATAGAAATGGATATCACACTCAAAAATGTCTACATGGTATTGCCTTCATTTTTAGTATAAATATGCACATTAACAAGTTTTAAATACAGATAACAAGGAGTTATTGTGCCCCAGGTGATAGATTTCATAGAAAATTATCTGGCTTTCATTTAATTTATAAAATGTATTTACAATAGACCAAATCTATTTCTAGTATAACTTCTCTAAAGACAATTCCAGTATGACAGGGATATCAATATATTAATGGAAAAGAATATATGCATTTGAATATTTACTTGTCCAAAAAATGCTGAAATTCTATCTTGTATATTTCCATTCCAGGGTCTTCATCAGGATGCATTTTCTGGTTCTCCTTTGTTTTCTGTTTCTTTTCAGGATGAATATTTCTAAAGCAAATGAATACCCTTTTAATTGGCACAGTGTGCAAACTCTTAGTTACGCAAGTGCAGTCTGGTCAAGAGACTCAAAAGTGTGAAAGGATCCACTTGTGCGTTTTTCTGGGTCAGGAGCACTCTTTACACGGAAAAATAAAACATCCCTATGTATCTAATTTGGCAAGTTTTACAATGAACTTAGTCACACGTTTGTGAAAACTGGATTTTTATACATGGTTGCCAATCAAATGCAAAGCTTTATTGCATACTACAATCTGAGAGTATTTGAATTTGTCAGAGTACAATATCAGTGGTTTATAAGCAAAGGTTAACTTTAGGATCCAGAATCCAGTCTCTGTTACAATAATGTAAATCTAAACATCAGCAGAGTTACTACAAATTAACACTGGTGTATCTGAGATCAAAATCTACCCTGAACTTAATTGCTAACTTAGTATTTTCTTGTGTGAAATCCCAATATGTCTAATATTGATCTGTTCTCATTTCATGGGGATTTATGCCCTAAATCTTATACGTGGAGATGACAACAAACCCCAAAGGCTTAGACAGCATTTTAATGTGAGAAAATTTGTAAATCATTAACTAGATTTAGTCCAATATAAATAGGAACAACTTAATTGACTTCAATGGAGTCATGCTTACTTGCTTGCACCTGAACTTAAATTGGTCCCAACACATTTGAATTTAACATCCAATTTTGCGAATAAAAGACAGAGACTGCAGGAAGAATATCTGTGAGCATTTCTGCTAGCTCATGGAGCATGTGTTAGGTAAAACATTAGGTCACCATGAAAATATCAACATTTACCAAATTACCATAATGCCATTATTACTTTATTATTTCCTTATTACCTTATTATTTCCTATTGTAATCATAGGGAATTACTGCAGTATCTCTAGTGTGGTAACTATCAGTAAATGATGAGGTCTATTATGCAGGATATGCTTTTTATTTTGCTATCAATCAAAATAGTAAAATAAATAATGGAGTCCACTGTATAGGGGTGTGTGCATGAATACTAGAAGCTTAGCCATATCACATAAAGAATCAGCCAATCAATAAAGGTAATTTGGGTCATTTTACAACAAATGGAGGCTCCTCAGCAGGAGGGCAACTCATATTACAGATCACTCTTAAAATAGTTAGATTTAGATTTATTCAACCACAGAATCCATGGTTAACTAATAGTGAGTTTGATTCAGAATAAATGCACACAAACAATGAAATTTAGTTGAGGCAGAAATACAGCGCAATACTATTATTTATACATTGCTATAGTTGTACAGTGGCTTTGCCAAAATATAAGAAGGCAGGTTCCTCCTCTGAAAGATTCATTCTTTGCTTCCATCACACAGTATTTATAATATTTATATATGTCAGATCACCTAACAGTCTGAAATACCCTGAGTTATCTATTGATGTGAGCATAAGTTAATGAACCTAGTGGCAAACTTTGAGGACATTAATTAATTTTTAGATGTTTAGATTTCCAGTTTCCTAATGTAGTTTGTGGATTGACTAGAAAGCACTAGGCTGAGGAGGAGAGAAGTTTCTGGCTGCTGATAGGCAGGACAAGTCAGGAAACTTAAAAAGAGCTAATTTTGATCTCTTTCCCTTTCTGGAAAGTACCTCCCTCACCTCTCAAGGTGGGGGTCGGGTTGGGGGGTGGCAGGTGAGCCATATCATGAGGTGAGGCCTGAAGTGGAGAAGAAGCCAGTAAAGTGAGATGGCAGATAGAAATGGGTGGGACACATGAAGCTCTCTGCCTATTTGGGGAAAGTAAGGTCTTGTGGTGCTTGTCATAGAGCTAATAAAGGGAAATGAGGCAAAGACTGGAGCCTGTCTTCTCAGTTCCACTCCCTTAGAGTAGAACTCTGAGGATGCATAATTTTTTTCTCGGCATTCTACAAGTTAAATGAGACGTTCAAAATATTTTAAAGCAAAGTTCTAATACTTTACATTGGGCAAAATGTTGCCATAATTTCAAAACACATTAAACGTTAGTGTTTGGCAAAGCATCTAGTTCAAAGTAAGAATGACACATTATCTAGTATCATTGCCTTGTGAAGGAAGGACCACATAGGACATTAGCATAAAATGACAACAATATATTGTGTGGCGACCAGGCCCCGACCATGCAAATGTTTTTGCACATACTTAACCCTAAATATGTGAGTAGTCCCATTGACTTCAGTGGTTGTGATGACCAGTTTTTCTATTTCAAATGACCTAATTCAACAACTTCATAAAAAGTAAGCACTTTAGTAGAGCTTCAGAGATGATTTCAGAAAGGGTAAAAAATAAAAAAGTCAGAAATTTAGGACTATTCATTAACTTTCTATGTAAAAAAGAGCTGAATTATTTTAAGAGCACTATACTCACATTTTAGATATAGTAGAATGAACTAATTATGAAATGTATGCCTCAAAGATTTCAATTTCAGGCTTGACTTTACTTTGAAAATTAATTTTTTACTTTATCATTTTTGAAGGCAACTCAGTGGACAGTCTATCTGAATATTACTCATTGTTCAGTGATGTATGAACTATATTTAATCAATGTGAAGAAAATAATATTAAACTATTATCAGAAGCATCAAATGTTCTAAAAACCTCAAAAAGAAAGGTCAAAAGGTAACATCTTTGCTAACAATATGAGAAACAATGTATTTAACTTATTCTTTATATCAAAGCTTTTAAATGAGTTATGAATTACTATCCTTTTGTCATATAAAATGAAAATAAAGATTATGTTCTTTTTACTAAATATAATTTGTATTGTTTCAAGACATTTTATTCATATACATATTAGAAAGCAAAGATATTTTTTCAGTATTTTCCTAAAAAGGATTTTTAAATAACTATTTCAGCGCTAAACAATCATTTGAATAGCTGACTGCAGATTTTCACGACACGAGACTTATACAACTACATCCAACGAAGATGTGGTCATCATGAAATCACTTGCTATGTCAAAGAATTAATTGTTTCATGACAAAGTAAATGTCAACAAAGGTAACTATCTCATGATAAATACTGGTAACTCTTCCCCCCCCCCCTGACATTTTTATCAATACTCCCCCATGCTTTCAAATTTCCTCTGCCATTCTGGGTTCATTTCAAATGATGATCCAGAGAAAACCCTTCAGTATGGACCTCTATTCATTCATTCTCCACTTTTCTCACTACTACTTGGATAGAACCACTATCATGTGGTCTTGGTCTTAACTTGGATCAAGATGGCAAGACAAAGGTGGTTTGTCTGTTTTTCCAGAAGATAGGGAAAGGCAAACAGCCTTTCATTTCTAGACTACTGCTTCAAATCTAGTTGTTCAGGAGCCTATTCTACATGAAATGCATTGAAGGTTTCAGTTAATTTCCAAGCTAATCGATGTCAACATGCTAAAAATACTTTGACAATGTGTGTCCTGGTAGCTGTTGAGGTGGAGACATCAAAGATTTCATAGGTTACATGCCAGAGCTAGCCTCTACAATTCCTAGAGCTGGTTTTACTGGGTCAGGGTAGAAACACATGAGCCAGATTTTCAGCTGGTGTCACTCAGTGTAACTCTTCTGACATCAATGAACCTATGCCAATTGACAGAACCAGAGGCTCTCATCTATTAGTGTGAGGTGGAGAATCTTGCTGTGTCGCTTTCCATAACCTACCCAGTCATAAAGCAGGAAGTTCTAAAACACCAGTGTGGCTTGCACCTTCCCAGATAAGGAATGTATAAGCTCAGTCCTGCATTCTGGCTTCAACGAAAAGAAGCTGCTAATAAACTTGGGTCTCCCTGCACAGCAGCATAATGTACTGTCAGCAACAGACTTTGAGCAAGCAGGCCTTTGACAATTTAAGGTCACACATCATAGATTAATGACCAAAGAAGAATTCTCAGCATAAATTAGTCTGAATTAATTAATAAATAGTGTGTGCATTTTTTCTTTACTATTTCAAAGTTTTGGGAGACAGTACTGTAACTTTTGCATAAATTCTTGGTTAAATTATTAGTAACACATTGTAAAGTTATTCTAATTGGAGATATACGCAAGTTAAAGTGAACCATATGTCTTAAGAAATTATTTAGTTTATGGCATTATTAAAATAAATTGCTATTTCCTTACTGTCTGTTTAGCATATTTGTAACATCAGTTCCAATGATGGTGATAGCCTTGCTTTTGTCCCTGTCTCCATTGTGCAAAGCCCTCAGTCTCACAGGTATATACCAATCTGACTTCTTGCCAGCTGGTTTCTTAAGTGAAGGACTGTTTGGAACCAGCAATCCCTCAATTGGCCAGTCAAAATCCTTTAAATAAAATAGCAAAATATTAATTGAGTTTAATACATGTAATTGAGTTTAATCCAGCAAGAATTTTGTTATTTTGGTTTTTATTTTGTTACACAAACCATTTAAATGTTTTTAAAGTTAACCTTAGTAAAGTTAAGGTACCACAGTGATGGCTGAGGTATAAGAACCTAGATAGATGGAAAGACAGACAAAATGAAATATTTCCAAAAGCACTTATGCAACTATGGAGTTCTGGCTTCTCAATCTTGGAAGGGAAAAAACGACAAAATCCTCAGAGTTCTCAGTGGAACAAAGAAAGGGAGAAAGAATGCTGGAGTCTGTCAATAGTCTGAATCAGATGTCCTTTATCAGTATATAATAAACCTCAGACATGAATGACCAAAGCTACTCTGTAGTTTGGGAAGGAGGGATTGTGTTAAAGTAGGAGTTTTTATTATTTTTCCACCATATAGAACACATCTTAATAACTATGGTCCTGATCTTGTAAACACGTATGAATGTGCTTAACTTTCTCACTGTGAGTAGTCCCATTAGGTTGTAATAGTTAAATTAAGCACACATGTAAAAAGCAACAGAGGGTCCCCATGCTTTTTACAGTCATGCTTTTTACAGATTCAGACTAACACGGCTACCCCTCTGGTACTTCACACATGTAAGTCTCTTCAGGATCAGGGCCTATACTATCTCATGGAAAATCTCCATGTGATTGCACAATATCCTTGTAACAACTACAACAATCACTTCAATGGGAAAGTATTATTAGGAAAATGTCTAGGAATAAGTGTTTTTCCCCTTTATTAATCACACTGTCTCCTTTCGATCTTCACTTCCTCTCTCCCTCCCACGTTATTTTGTTCCTACTTTTCCCCTTTGATCTCCTGGATATGCTGCCCAGCTACCTAGTTCCCTCTTCCCCTAGATATTCCTTTCAATTTCCATTATTGACACCTGATTTCTCTCTGATGGGCAGCTCCTGACTGATCGTTGGTGCTCAGGAGTGCCATACTTGAGAGATGCTGCTCTTATTCTATGTAGTAGTGGCCACCAGGCAGGTTGCTAAGTTGTCTCTCTTCTTTGTTTCCAGTTACCTCTTGGGGCATCCAGACTTTTTTTTTTCCCAATTAAGAGCCTAGACACCTGAAGAAGCAGAGCTAAAAAACAAGGAAGAGGAACCAGCACCATGTGACCTGCCTGATGTCTGCAGATCTCCAGTGGCCACAAGCTGCAATTTGAGTGCAGCATGCACCTCAAGGTGGGGAGGAAGAGGGAGGCCTTTTCTGGACTGGCAGTATCAGCTGAGTTGGTGGGGTTCAATAAGTCATTGATCCTTGTGCAGCTGAGGTGGGGAAGTTATATAAACCCTGCCCCTCCAACCTGACCTCCCTCTCATGCTTCATTAGCAGTTGCAAAGAGTTGGCAGAGGAGCCTGCCATGGTTACATGTGGCCATGGCCCTCTCCTATGCGGGGCTGGGGGTCCCAGGAGATTCAGGGTAACTAGTGGGTCCCATCTGAGATCACCCCAGGATTATAATAGAGGGCAACAGTGGCAGGCAGCAGCAGGACCCAGAGATCATGCTGTTGAATTAATTACTGGAAGAAGGAGGAGGTCCAGAAGGTCCCACACTGGTCAAGAATTGACAAAGGGCCAGTGTTATCTGGATTAATTTGAGATTAGGGCCACCAAATGAGGACTTCAGAGATGATACAATGAGAGAGCAACAAAGAATCAATCGTTACAGGAACATAAGCATCAAGTTAATGTTGCTAGAGCAAACTTAGCTGCTGGAATGCCATGATTTTAGTGCTTGATCTCACAATTCAATGCTGCATTCTCTATTTTTAGGCATTTCATTTCCTACCTAATTTATTTTTTTAAGGAAAAGAAATATCCCTTCCCAGGCCATAACCTGCTGGGTGTTACTAAAATAGGAATTGGTACTATATATAGTCCACCAGTTCCACTATATATATATATATATATATATATATTGAACTGTTTTAATACAGTAGAAATACTGCCTTTCATTAAGAACAGATGCCTCATCTTTAATTTCTTGATTGGTAAATACTGTGAATATTGTAGTTTTAAAAAAAAATTAAAAATCTGTTTGAAATCTAACAAAGTTCTGAATAGTTTAGTCTATAAATACCTTCCCCTGTCTTCAAAGTTCCCTTTGCTAGTCTAGGATTTAAATCCTGATTTTCATATATTTGTAATAGAGGGGATGGAATCTTCAACTTTTGCTTTGTCAATATTAATACACTTGTACCAAATTCATGAGAGTCACTGGTGGCTAACAGCACTGTGCAGCCTGACAGATAATGTTCACTTAGAGGAACAGACAACTTTCAATTTAATTCCTGATGAAGTTTATTTTTCATTAATAAAAAACAATCTGCTATGTCCAGGTCCAGTATGGCTGAATATTGTTTCATTTAGAGTCCAGTTCTGCCACACTAAGTCATTCTAAGTAGTACCTTACTCCATAACTAGACACATTGATTTACGTGTTACAGGTGGCAGAACTGGGCCTTTGTTTGTTTTTCAAAACAATCAAACAAACAAAAAACGCTGCTATCATTTAAGATAACTGAATACCAATAAAACCAGCTAACATTTAAAAAAATTGAAAGTACATACAGTACTACAGATTTGAAGTATGACCTAAGGAATAATTTCTAAGAGAAAAATTCAGCCTTGTGCAGACAATGTCCCTTTTACTGCCAGCCAAATATTGACTCATAGGTGAGTATTGCTACAATCAACCATGAAAATATAAAAGCCAAAAGAAAAAATAAAGTTAATATTACCTTTTCTAGGGAAAGTTAAACATTGAATTGCACATTGCCATGGATACTGTGTTCTATTAAAGTATTGGTGTTTCAGAATTAAAGACTGGTAGAACAAAACTTGAAGTTCCATTCAGTTTGCAATAATTCATTAAAACAACAGACATTTTTGCACTAGCACCAGCATCTATTTTCATTTATTCTTTTCCAAAATTTGCATGGCATGCTTGGACGAATATATCACATCTGTTCAGCTTCAGTGAATATTTAGCAAACTAAACAAACTACTGCATGTGTTGTAATTTCTTGAATGCATGAAATTACCTCATTAAGTTCTCCATTTGGAAGGACAGGCCACATGTATGTCAGCTTATTCCATAGCGGATTCTCCACTTTGGAATGTTTCCACTGGTCTGGTTTAGTTGTCCCTTCATGCTTTATAGCCCATCTGAAAAAAATGAAGTTGAATCTCTTTTTTTATAATTACACTTCCAAATGTGAATAATTCTTGAGCAGTTAAATTACAACTTTCTCTCCAGAGATGGTGCAGAGCAAAATCCTGGATATGGTTTGAGCATCCAACCTCTTCAGATCGGTGAGCTAACACCTTGGAGCAGAAAACTCCTGAACCTGGAGGTTTGAAATCCATCTCTCAATCTGAACTTCCCCAAATCTTAGAATGTTCAGATTTGACCCATGTCAGAGATAGGTTTTTGAGCTTTGAAACTGGGCCATGATCCTGCAATTGACTGTGTGCAGTTGCACTCAGTTGCGGGATCAATGCCTGGAATTCTCATGTGAGTTTTAATCTTTCTCTTTGAATAGTTCCTTGACAATATATAATGTTGAGAGTGATGGAATGCACACCATGTTAGCCATTGAAGTAGTTTTCATATTGTGCCTAGTTACATAGCACATTGAAGTAAATGATAAGTAGCTATGAGTTGCAAGGTTAAAATGCCATTAACAACTATCTACAAGCATCAGAATGTAATGTAATTACGGTGCTCATTTAAAAAGAGAAAAAAATCAAGGAGTAATCCTTTATAAATATACAAATATAGGCCCCAATATAGAAGGGGCTTAAGCTCATGCTTATCGACAAATGTGCTTAAGTCCCATCAATTTGATTTATGCATATACTTAAATTTAAGAACACACTTAAATAACTCTTCTGAATAGAGATGCTCTCCTGAATTTCAGCCATAATATCCAATATATTGTCCAACTATAGATATGGGACATCTTAACATAAAACTTTCTTTGGCTTACTTGCATTCCAGATTTATTAAAATGACAGAAGATTTTGATTTATAATCTTGATTATTCATCCTGAATAGAATCCTTAGAATAGAAACTAAGTATATATATTTTTTTCTTAGTAATTTGTATTTTGTATGGGGAGGTAGCTGCCAGGGTCAGTAAGAAGTTTCCTTGCTTTCCATGAATTTCTGCAAGTCCTTACAGGTTGTGAATCCTCATTGTCTTCCTCTCCTTCTTTGTAACGTAATGCAGATTTCCTAAAATCCCCTCTTGTATATTTCAGAATATCACAACATCTTCCAAACAGAATATCGTTTATCTGTGGTTTCCAGCACACAGACTCTATATTTCAAAAGGAACCGGTTAGAAAGAATTAGCGGAATGAACAGAATGGGAATCAGGCCCTCCTGTGGGTTTAACTGGGACTGCTGGTTAAAACCAAGGCCACTGAGATTAAAATGTACCCATGGATTACTTGCAAATGAAATGACAGAAAAATAATAAAAGCAATTTCAGCTGTTAAATTTCAAAGAACAACATAAGAGGATCATGTATACTTGTTACACAAACTTACATAACCATCATATTTGATATTTTCTCAAAGCTCCATGACAAAGATTGAAATGTGGCAATGCAGAGCAAATGTTCTATGGCTACAGAAGAGCTGGGAGACACCAGACCCTGCATAGAAACAGCTGAAGCCCTTATACAGTTTCACTCCAAAAAATACTGCATATTTGCAGACATGCTCTGTTTATTCCCATTTTGGTTTCCCAAAACTGAGAAATGTCTTAATTCCTGAATGCAGTTTTTCTCATATTTGGCTATCACTTGTAAGTCAGAGCAACTGGAAATAACAGAAAATGCACTCAGGAAATCGGTTTGGTTTTGGTTTTGTAAGAAACAACCAAGAATAGAGTGAACTTGTTCCATTATGTTTGCAAACCACTGTAGGAGAAGTGGATGCTGCAAAAATGTGTAGGGCCCCAGTTAATAAGTACACAAAAGCTGAACCTTTAAGAACTTACTTGTCTATTTCTAAGAAAAATTAAGAATGAGTAGAGAAGTGATCTTAGTTCAGTACCATACATACTCTCTGGAATCGATTCTCCACTCAAGGTATATATGTCACTGCCATGGAGAAGGGTTTATATTGTGCATACAGTATATATAGCATATGCAAAAATTCAGCTGGTATAATATATTCAGGGTCAGATCCGCCATTGCCTTGCACCTTTTATAGTCATTAACATCAGTGTCAAGTGGTTGTAAAATGACACCAACTCATAATAGTGGCCTTTCATACCCACTTGACACTGATGTTAATGACTACAGAAGGTGCAGGGCAACCAAGAAGCAGGCCCATCAAATTTTAGCATACAGCATATGTATTTAAGCTTGTATTGTGCATATATAGAGACTTTGGATAGAAAATGTACACAATTTACTGAATAACATACTGTAGATCTTAGTGTGATGGATGTGGAGTGGCTCTGTATTAATTTGTGAATACTGTATGTTAACCTGGTTATTAGGATGTCTACTGTATTAAGATATTGGTTTAGGAGAGGGACAAGGTGGATGAGGGAATATCTTTTATTGGACCATCTTCTGTTAGTGAAAGAGACAAGCTTTTGAACTACATAGAGTTCTTCAGGTCTAGGAAAGAAAACCAGTGTGTCACATTGGGAAAAGATTGTTAAGCATAAGAGGTACCACCTTGTAACGGACCATTCAAAAAGAAGTGGCCCATTAACACCTTTGTAGTCACAGAACAAAGGAAGGTTAGTGGGTTACAGATTGTTGTAAAGAGACATAAAACCTGTACCTCTATTGAGTCCATGATCTTCAGTGTCTAGCAAAGTTATGAATTTAAGTTCCTAAGCTCATGTTTGTGAAAGGTTCCTTTGAGGATGAAGACTGAGAGGTCAATATGGAGTGATCATTTTGTAAAAAATGTTTGCCCACAGGTGACATGGTGTTTTTGTCTTTTATCACTTTTCTGTGTGAGCATAGTGATTGTCTATGTGAGCATAGTAATTTTATCCTGTAACGAGGCGGTGTGGTCCCCCACCGCCCCAGAGAGGGCGAGCCCCTCCAGACACCAGAGTGAGTGGGGCCAGAGAGCTCCAAGCCCGCCTCCTAGAGGGTCAGGCGCAGGACAGGAAGTAGAAAAGCAGGGGGCCAGAGCTCACTCGGGGGGCAGCCGCTGGAGAGGCCAGATGCCTCCGGCCTAGCTCCCGGCTGGGAGACCCCGGCAATCGGCGGCGGATCTGAAGAGTGGCCCGCCCGACCAACACCTGACGCTGACCAGAGCCCGGAGGAGCTGCCAAGCCTGCCCCTTGCCAGTTACCCAGAGGAGCTGCCAAGCCTACCCCTCACCAGTTACCCGGAGGAGCTGCCAAGCCTGCACCTTGACAGTTACCCAGAGAAGCTGCCAAACTTTCCCCTCGCCAGTTACTCGGAGGAGCTGTCAAGCCTGCCCCTCGCCAGTTACCCAGAGGAGCTGCCAAGCCTACCCCTCACCAGTTACCTTGAGGACCCCATGGTGTTTGACCCCCCTGATGATACCGTCCTGACCCAGGTACCTCTAGAGGGGGAGTTAGAAAGTGGCCTAGGGGCAGCCGACCCTAGTCTGGCACCGCCAGTGCCAATGTCATTGTATTGCAGCCAGGATCCCCACTGACTCAGCAGCAGGCCTTCTGCCGCTGCTAGGGCACCGGGTTGGGACCCAGTGGAGTGGGAGGGCCTGCGTCCCCCCTGCCACCCATCTCGTGGGTGGCAGTCTCCCCCTCTCCCAGGCCCTTTGGAGCCAAGAGCCTGGGCTCGTTGTTAACCTGTCTGAGCTCAGCCCCTGCCTGAGGGCTTAAGCCACTGACTCCTTGCTGCCCCGCCCTGACCCAGGGCCTGGACCTGTTACTTATAAACTGCTGCTCAGCCCCTGCCTAAGGGCCTGAGCCTTAGACTCATTGCCGCCCCGCCCTGACCCAGGGCCTGGGCTTGGTAATTGTAGAACTGTTGCTCAGCCCTGTCTGAGCCACCGCCCATGATTGGGCCCGAATAACTGTTTTGTGGCATCTCCTCGGTCACCCCTGTGAGAGCCTCCTGCGACCAGACTGATGCCACACCAGGAACGGTGAGAACATAACAAGGCGGTGTGGTCTCCCGCCGCCCTGGCAGAGGGATGAGCCCGGCTAAGCCCCTCTACATATCCACATAGTTGTTTTTGGGGCATTTAGTGCATTAGATGAGGTACACCACATGTTGTGATAGGCATGTGAAAGAGCACTGGATCTTAAAAGATGTGTTGTGGGGCTTATTGATCACTGTAGCAGTGGAGATATGTCTGCAGGTTGTGCATCTGTTGTTCTGGCACAGTCTAGTGCCACATTGAATTGGTGTGTGGGGAGCTTGCTTCTGACTCAGGAAGGTTGGGAGACTGTTTGAAAGCCAAAAGAGGGGGTTTGGGAAAGATTTTTTTCAGGATGTGGTCCCCATCAAATATGGGTTGTAACTGTTTGACGATATCCTGTACAGGTTTCAATGTGGGGTGGTAGGTGACAACTAGGGTGGTACGGTCAGTGGGGGCTTTTTTCTGTATTGCAGCAGGTTCTCTTGGGGTATTTGGATGGCCCATTCCGTGATGTGATCTACTTCTCTGGTGGAGTGTCCTTGTTTGGTGAAGGTGGCTTTAAGTGTGTTAACGTATGTATTTTGGACTTTCCATATTTTGTGGTATCTGAGTGCCTGTCTGTAGGCAACAGATTTCTTGGTGTGTAGGGTGGTTACTGGATCTGTGAAGATAAGTGTGGTGATCCATGGAGTTCTTGTATATAGTTGTCTGCTCCATAGTTGAAGCTGATCGTGGTGTCAAGGAAGTTGATGCTGATGTGCGAGCGTTCTACAGAGAGTTTGATAGATGGGTAGTGGTTGTTGAAGTTGTGGCAGAAATCTATGAGGGAGTTTAGTTCATTTGTCCAGAGAATGAAAATATCATTGATGTATGTCAGCTATATCATTGGTTTTATGGTGCATTTTTCCAGAAATCCTTCCTAGAGTTTAATAGCAGTTTGTAAGGAAAAATTTACAGGAACAAGAAGGGGAAAGAGGTGCAGCTAGTCCTGTAATTGTGTCAGTTAGTCAGTACACTAAGGCATGTGTATTATAGTGATAACACTTTTTAAG